AGAGTTCGGAACATATCCTATGAACATGATTCATGAAAAATTAAAGCTTTAATCAGGCGAGTTGTCAAGTTACAAAGCCAAAATTTGTATGTTTCGGCAGGTAATTTACAATAATTGTCGTCTATCAAACAAGATAGATTTATGAGATACTACCAAATGTGCGATGGTTGCGAAGATGCAGGGTGTTCTGGCTAGAAAACCTCAAGAGGATAAGTGCCTAGGATAAGCGTCTATTTGGAAATCCTGGCAGGCCAATAGCGTTTGTTGCGAGAAAGCGAAGAGACAGATTCGACGAGGAAACCGTAGAACTTCCTCGTGAAGATAATCCAGAAGAAGAAGTCAAAATCGAGTTCGTAGAGGCGGATCCTCCGTTTTTATACGATTACGATAGAACCGTTCGAGACTAGTCCCGTATGAATAAGATGCTGCAGCGTCTTAAATTGGAGGCGGATAAAGCTCCCACTGGCTTCAACAAAATTGAATCTTGAAAAAAAATTTGATCGGTTCATTTACCACAAGCTCGTACAAACTACTAAGGAATATATGCGAGAGGTAACTACGATTGATCCCAAATGTCTTGCAGAATTTGCCCCCAGCGTTCTTCAAATTTAATCTCTGTTCATATTTCTATAAAATTTTCACAAAAAAAAAAATAAATTAATTATATTAATTAAATATTGTAGAATTATTTCGAAAAAAAAATATTTCTTTTAATAAATTAATTATCTAATAAAATATTTAAATGATTAAAATAAATAAAAACTTGAAAATTAAATTTAACTTTTTTTTTTTTTATTATTGTATTTTACAGATTAACAACGATGGGCCATTACAATGATGTTTATTAACATCTCTATTTTTAATGTTGATCGAAAGTATATTACTGTGTTAATAAATTTCAAGTTAATGTGAATCATTAATTAAAATTAATTAATTAATTAATGGTATATGGTAAAATTTAGAATTTGAGACCTGGGGACAAAAATTTCATCATCAATATTGATTATAATTATGAAACTCAAGTTAGCAAACACTTGACAATTTTTTTTTTTTTAATAAACTAGCTTTAAAAAATTATTTTTCAAAAATTGCATTTACAATTTTTAGAACTTAGAAAGTAAATATTTTAAATGTAATTTAAAATAATTAATTTTACAAATTTTAAAATTCCGAAAAATACAATCTTAAATAAAGAAAAAGCTAAAGCTATATTAATAGAATCTTTCAAAGTCACAAAGTCTCAATAAATTAAAAAACATAACATTTTATAAAAAAAACCGGGAGCCCGTTTTTCGAAGTTTAATTCCTTTGCTTTTTTTTAGCAATAATAATCACAAATAAAAACGCTCTTCCGTTTTTCTGAGTTTAATATTGTTTAGTTTATTTTTTGCAATAGTAACCACAATTAAAAACGGTGATCCGTTTTTATTTGAATTTTTTTAAAAAACCGTAACTCCGTTTTTTCAAATATAATTTCTTTACTTTTTCTCTGCAATAATAATTACGAATAAAAACGGCTATCCATTTTTCTTCGGCTCGGGTGGCAATCCCATACCCGGGACAGAAATGTAGTACTTTGGTCCTATGTTGCACATACTATTTTTTATCCTGCCAGGCCCAAAATTCGTAAAAAAGTTTAATGACTCAGTGATTCGCGCATGGAGTCCACGGGCGAAGCCTCGGTAGGGTCCAGGGGCAAAGCTAGACAAGTATCAGCTTGAATGTAGTCAGTACCCTCTTTGCCACTGTCACTCATCACTGACGTTTCAGGTGAGCTCATTTTAGTTTTTTAATTGTTTTATAATTATTTAACTTCATAAACTATTAACTAAATCACGTAAATTATATCACAATTGATATGTGTTTTTATTGCCGAGATATTGCACTAATGGCGTCGTGACAGCTGTTCTGAAGCTTGATGCGTGTGAGTACTGACGCGCATAGTATCGCACATGCGCACTAATGGGTAAACCGAGGATAGAAAGGTAAACCGAGGATAGAATGCAATAGAATGTATCACTTGGGTCTCAGATAGAATGGATAGAATTCGAATTTTGGGCCTAGGCAGGATAAAAAATAACTTTTATGATGCAGAGGTAAAATTTTGTATCCCCCAAATACTTTAGAAAGTTTTCTGATTTGAATAAGGACTATAGTAAATTTATCTATATATAGTCCGCAGTAGTTCGACTTCGGTATAGTTAGACTTCGGTCTCCAAATTTGTTTTTTTCTATAATATATCTAACGAAAAAAAAACATAACCAAAATAAACGTACGTCAAACGTTTTAATTATAAATCAGGTAGTGTGTTTTTCATGTTGAAGAGTAATTTCCAGAGTAAATCGTTACAGATAATTAACAGGTTTTAATTTCATTGATTTTTTTGGAAATTAATAATTAATCACGAAATGAACGACGAAATGGAAGAATTTGAATATTTATCATTGGCAAATGAAATATATATGTAATTGCAAAATCACTTGGAGCTTAAGTATAAAGATAGGAATTTAGGTATGTACAAAATGTAATTTATCAAATTATTTAATATTAATTGAAATTTTTAAAAATAATTCATAGTTTTTATTTGAATTTTTAAATAGTAATTTATTTTGATACATAAAATCCTAAAAATCGTTACTGCAAATTTCAGAATTATTTATGAAGTATTTTTAATTTAAAAAAAAAAAAAAAGGAACAGTATAGTTAATAATTATTTGTCTATTACAGCTAAGTTGATACTTCGTTTGGCAACCGAAAACTCAACACTTGATGGATTCAAGCAGGCGTTACGAGAAATTCGAGGTGATCTGTCTGATGCATTTATGGACAACATTTACCAACTAGTTCAGGACGAGAAAGTAGATGACGTCGAAATAGAGGTGACAGAGGAGGGTGTTAAGTTTTTTCGGGATTACGATAGAATGGTTCAAAATTTGAGTCCCGTACCAATCGTTAAAAATCCTAACGGATCACAGCGCTGGCTGCGAAGATGCAGGGTGTTCTGGCTAGAAAACGTCGAGAGGATGGTAGTTTTCCAACTACAGCACTAGAGCGCATAATGCGGCATTGTGCGCAGCTTAGAGTGTTCCAATAACAGCAACGCTTCGCACAGTTGGACACTCAAAAAACCTTTGCTCAGGGATGTTATGCGTGAGAGTTACCAACGAGTCTACATAAAATTAAAAGTATTTTTTTTGTAATGAGTTGGTATAATTAATGTTTATCTTATTATCTATCAAAGTTATTATTTTTGACAATTGTAAGTGTATTTTATTATTGTTGATAAATAATTATTATTGCAATAAAATTAAATATATACAATAACACAAATTATATTTAACTATCATATTTTTATATCTAATATTTAATTATTGATGACTAACTTAAGCGAATTTATATTCTTTCTATTCTTTTATCTTTATAAAATGAAATCATTTTTTAGATTTTTATATATTTGTAAGCATTGTCATGATATAATTTTGAATTAGCTGTTTAACATGAATGTTTTCAAAGATTTTAAAGATTTAAATATACAGGTAAACAAATATTTAGATTTTTAGATTGCCAAACTTTCGAATTTTTGTTCAAAACGAAGCAATACCAACCCGATCTACTGCTGCATTTCTTAACTAATCTGTTTCAATTAAACTTGTGCTAATGCGGCACCGTGCGGCAATGAGTCCCATTGTGCTCTCGTAATTGGAAAACTACCGATAAGTGCCTGAAGCGTCTATTAGAGGAGGATGAAGCTCCCTCCCACTTGCTTCAACAATTGAACCTTGAAAAAAAAAACTTGATCGGGTCATTTACCACGAACGAGCTCGTACAAACTACTTAGGAATATATGCGAGAGGTAACTACGATTGATCCCAACTGGCTTGCAGAATTCGCCCCAGCGTTCTTCAAATTTAATCTCTGTTCATATATTTCTATAAAATTTTCACAAAAAAATAAATTAATTGTATTTATTAAATATTTTTGAATTATTTCTATAAAAAATATTTCTTTTGATAAGTTAATTATCTAATAAAATATTTGAATGATTAAAATAAATAAAAACTCAACAATTAAATTTAACTTTTTTTTTTTTTATATCAACATCTCTATTTTTAATGTTGATCAAAAGTATATATATTACTGTGTTAATAAATTTCAAGTTAATGTGAATCATTATTTAAAATTAATTAATTTATTATTGAAAATTAATGTAACACATAATGAATAATTTTAAAAATTTTATAACAAATAAATTATAGCAAAAATAATAAGAAAAAAACAATTGACATTTAGAAATTTAAAAAAATAAAAAATGCAATTGTTTTTAAATAATTTTTTGGAATACATCTTTTTGTTAAATAAAATTTAAAAATTGTCAAGTGACGACAGCTAACTTCAATATGTCATAATTAATTAATAAATCAATGGCATAATAAAATTTAAATGTTGAGACCTGGGGACAAAAATCTCATCATCAATATTATTATTATAATTATGAAACTCAAGTTAGCAGACACTTGACAATTTTTTTTTTAATAAACTAGCTTTAAAAAATTATTTTTCAAAAATTGCATTTACAATTTTTACGACATTAAAGTTAGCAGTCACTTGAAAATTTTTTAAATTTTATTTTAAGTAACTTTTTATGATGCAGGTAAAATTTATTATCCCCAAATACTTTAGAAAATTTTCCGGTTTGAATATTAGTGAGTATAGTAAATTTTAAAAATCAACATTGCTGTGCTACGAAAATATACAACTGAGTTTTACTCGAGCCAAAACATGCTCATTTGCTCATTTACCTTTCGACTTTGGTTGAGAAAGCATCTGCTAAATTTTGTAATTTTGTGAAAAGTGTACAGTGTTATAATTTCTATAAAAAATATTATTGTCAATAAGATCAACTGATACATTAAATTAATTACCTAATTGACAAAAATATAAAATATTGTATAAATCACTGATAGATTTTTTACATTCTTTATTTACTCTAAAATAAAACATGACGGTATTAAGTGTGAACAACTTAAAAATTAATGGAGAATCTAATAATAATAAACAGTATGACCGTGATTTTTTGATAAAACTACGAGACATTCCTCAGTGTAAAATAAAACCTGCTTATCTTAATAACCGCTTTGAAAGTATTCATAAATCCGAGTTTAGAGTGAGTATTTTTATTATATTTTAAATAATTAATTTTGTTCTTTTTCTTTAATTTTATTAAACATGTTTGTGTTATTATTATGAAACCTTTAAGAAGTTTAAAATATTTTTTTTAATAAACCACACTTATTCAGTCATGCTTTCAACTAAAGAGGTTATTTTTAATAGGAAATCCCATCTAACTGGAATGCAGGTAGCAGAATAAATGGTTTTAACCCAAAATCACATCATCAACTATTTCCTAGCTTTGCAAAACCTTCAGGTGGACAATTGGTAATTTATTTTATATTTTTATAATAATAATTATTTATAATTCAAGTTTTTATTATGACATTAAATTTAGCTGTCACTTGACAATTTTTTTAACAAACAAATTTGTTCTAAAAAATTACATTTTTAATTTATTAAAATTTTTATAGCAATTTTTTTATGAAAATTAAGTTAGCCGACATTTAAAAATTTTTTTTATTAAAAAAATTTATTAATTTGTAAAAAACTTTAAGTGGAATTTTTAAAAAATATTATGATTTATATTAATTTATAATTTTATAAATTATATTTTTTTTTTACTTATAATTTAATAATTGAAAAAAATAAATTGTTTAACGTCAGCTAATTTCAGTATCATTTTTTTTTTTTTGCCATAATTTGTTAAAAAAATTTCTAAAATAATCAAATATCTGCTGAATTAATTTTCATATATTTTTTATTTGTAAAAATTAATAATAATAATTTTATTTTAATTATTAGTCTCATCAGCTGGCAAGACGGAGTATTTCTCAGGAAAATGTTGCTAGACCCAGAAGGAGTGGGATGATCCATGTATCATTATCACTCAATGAATCTGTAAAGTTGCGTGAATCTGATAATGCCTGGAAACCAACTCTGCTGAAAAAAAAGACTGGTGCAGAAGTGGAAGAAGAGACCCAAGTTCTTTACAAGAACGTTCGCAGCGTGTTGAATAAACTAACCCCGGAAAAATTCGACAAACTTGTTGGACAAGTGCGAGCATTAGAAATTGACTCACAGGAGAAATTGCAAGGTGTTATTAATTTGGTATTCGACAAGGCGATAGATGAGCCAAATTTTGCTGTAGCGTATGTTTTGATGTGCAAAGAACTTGCATTGATGAAAGTTAATACTCCAAATGAAAAAAAACCGTCCCAGGTAACTGGAAACCCAGCTGCTAATGTAAATTTCCGCAAGCTACTAATTACTCGGTGTCAGGTAGAGTTTGAAAAAAACAAAACTAATGAAACACAGAGAACTGAAAAGGTCAAAGAAATTGAAGAATGTAAGGACGCTAAAAGGAAAAAAGATTTGCAGGCTGACCTTGAAGATTATGATCGTAAGATTAGAATGAAATCTGTTGGAAATATTAAATTTATCGGTGAATTGTACAAACAAAGAATGTTGACGAGCAATATAATGAATTTATGTATTAATCATTTATTGCAAACTCCGGATGAAGAAAATTTAGAATGCTTGTGTAAATTACTGACGACTATTGGAAAAATATTTGAAGAAAAAAATGACCTTTCGTCTTACTTTAAGAAATTAACAGAGCTTACTAATCAAAAGGGAGTAAACAAGATTAGCTCTAGAATAAGATTTATGATCCAAGATATTATTGATTTAAAAGCAAACAAATGGGTTCCTCGTCATGTTGACAATAATCCTAAAACAATAAGTCAAATTCAAAAGGAAGTTGAGACTGAACAATTTATCAACACACATTTAAATGCTTCATATAATCCATCACAAGATTGCCGTTCTGATAACAGACGAAGAAGTCGTAAGTTTATTATTTTTTATTTTGCTTTATTAAATAATGATTTTTGTTAAATTGCACTGTACTTTCTTAACTATCGACGTTTTTAAAGATATAAGCTCATTTTGATATTACACTCATCGAGAGCTTTCATTTGAGTACCCACATGCACTTTTGATATATTTTTCATATATACGTATATATAATATATACAAATATATAAAATATATGAAAAATTGATGTGGGTACTTGATGAGTATAACATCGGGATGAGGTTATATCTTTAAAAATGTCAATAGTTCACAAGGTACAAGGTCAATTCTTAATTATTGATAATAATTTTTTTTTCTAGTTATGGGTCCACCAAGTCATTCGAGTAATGGTTGGAGTGTAGCCACAAGTAAATCAAGACAATCGTACGCAATAGAAACTTCTAAATTAAAAATCAACACTTCAGTAGATGAAATAACGTTAGGTAGCAAAAATTCTTACACTTGGAAGCCTTTAGTACCACCAGCGCCTGCAATATTGTCACCTAATAAATTCTCCATCCTTGATGCCAAGCTTGAAGAGCAAAACTCCATAAGACGTTCATATGCTGGATCACGATCTACAGGATTTTCCGAGAGGTCTAATGATAGATCCTTTCAAAGAGACAATAATAACAGCCAGCAAAGAAGAGTTCCCTTGTTTGAGCAAAGATTAGCAATGTTGAGAAATGCTCAAAGTGGAAATATTCTTCCAGCAATTCCGGCGGAAAAGATTTCTTCTTCAACATCAGTACCAAGTCAAGTTTGTGTAAATAAATCTCTGAAAAGTGATGTAATTAAATCACTTTTAAAATCTTGCGAGAATTTTGCAAGCACTGAAGAATTTATTAAGGCTGCTGAAGAGACTATTGCGGATAACTTCGACAGTTCTTCGTACGAATTTTTCGTCAGTGAAGCAATGAACTGTGTGCTTGAAAAATCTAAGACTGTACGTCAGCGATTTTCGGCTTTACTGTCACAGATGATGGAGAAAAATATTATTTCCCTATGTCTGTTCCAAAAAGAGTTCAAAAAATTACTAGAAATTAAAGAAGATCTAGTAATTGATATTCCTAATTGTCAAACATACCTTGTAGAAATTTTGTCCGGGTTATTGACTTCAGGCGCTCATTCATTTGTTGAATTGAAGCAAACGCTAGCTGTACTTAAAAGTACAGGTTGTGGAAAATTCTTGGAAGAATTATTATCTACTGTAGCAAAAGATCAAAAGCATGAGTGGGTTGCTGGTGAATGGAAAAAGAGTGGACTAACCTGGTCCGATTTGGTCGACACTCAAAAAGAATCAGTTGATGAGATTATTAAAAATTACAGTTTGGAATTTTTAACTGGTGATTCTGCGACAATAAAGAAATCATCCCAGACAGATAATTGTTATTTTGAAAAAACTTTTAGTCAATTACTGGATTGTATGGGTAAAAGCAGTGTAATTGACTTTATTACTAATTTTATCACTGTAAGTATTTAATTAATGATTTTTTTTTAAATTAAATTGGCATAGACTTTTTTTTATAATGACTTTTGTGATTTTAGACGAAGTTTGGAGAGCAACCAGCTGGGTCTAAATTTTCCAGGTGTCTTATTGTTGCAATTTTGACAATTTCCGTTGGTAAGTATTATTTTTTATTAATTATTTTGTTGTAAATAGATATTTTTCAATTGCATTAAATAATTTTTTTTTTGTCTAATATTAGATACTGAAAAATTGAATACTGAAAAATTCAAACAACTCTTGCCACTATTAATACGATATGTTGATGCTGATCCAAAAAAGGAACTTGAAGTACTTTTTGGAATTCAACAATTTATTCACGGCTTATTGTATCCTCAAGGTATGTTTTTATATTACTCTAAAGTTAGCCGATGCTTTTAATTTTTTTTTCATCAATTAAATTAGAACAAAAAAATATTTTTTAAAAATTGCACTTACAGTTTTTGACAAATCAAAATTATTTTAATTGTTTTGTAATGATTTTTTTAATAGAAAAAAAAATTCGATACATTTTTAGATGTCGGCTAACTTAACTTTTATTTTTCTTATTTATAATAAATTCTGATAATTAATAATTATTTTTTTTATTAAAGGGCTACTGAGCAGCATAGTTGCAGTGATTTATGACGAAGGAATTATTTCAGAAGAAGCTTTTTTGTCTTGGCAAAAATGTGAAGATCCTGCGGAAATGGAAGGTCATGCGATAGTGATAAAATCGCTCACATCTTTCTTTGTTAACCTTTTAGAAGGAAGTGAAGAAGACGACGAAGAATAGTTAAATTATATTTATCCAACGACTTATTTTCATAATAATAATAATAATAATAATAATAATAGTGAAAACAAACAAGCCTTTTTATAAGTTTTTATCATGAGTTATTTATTAAATAAATTTACTTAATTAAGTCTTTATAACAAAATTATATTAGAATTTTTTTCGGTTTCCATACTATAGATTTTATTACAATAAATATATTAATTATTTGTATTTATTCTAGTAGGATTGAAATTGCATCATAATCAATAAATTTTTTATATACAGAGATTATGTGTAAATTAAGTGTTGATCGATGTCGAAAAGATATTAAATATTGTGGACTGATGCCTGGCTGGATAAATTTAATCTACTAAAAAATTATGGCGTTAGACTCAGCGATAGATGAAGAAAATAAACCTCCAAACTATTAGGTATATCCTTTTAAATTCCATCAGTAAAAATTTTAATAATAAAATATTGATAATATTTATACGTCAAAAAATTTCTAAGTAATTTTATTCATATAAAAATATTTGGCATCAAGCTATTGGGTTGTTTCGTTTTTCTTTTTTACTAAATCGGCCAGTTGATGACGATATCGTTGCTGGCATTCCTCCTAAAGAATACAAGAAAATAATTTTTTATAAAGCGTAATCATACGTTCTATTAAAGTTATAAAATTATTGAAATCATTGCCATTGCATGTTTAATTTAAATTTAATTTGAGGAATTATTCCTCAGTCGGTAAAAGTACGTGGACTTAGTGGACTTAGTGGAGAGTTTATTTTTTTAAATAACCTAAAAAGCGTACGGCATTCTTTTCACATATGTTATATAGTATTGAGATTAAAGACACTCTTTTTTAAGTTCATCTTGTTATAAATTTTAATTAATATATTCTTTTAGTGATATAAAACCCTTTTGTCTGTCACAGGTAAGGTTGATGAAAAACCGTAATTTTTTAAAGTATTTTCCCGTGACTTTAACCACCCGTGGACGGTGTCTTTAGCCACTTTAAATAATTTTATTTATCTTAATTATTATTAATTTCACCTGGCAAGACGGCAAGTATTTCTCAAAAAAAAAACGATGCCAGGCCAAGAAGGAAGCGAGATGGTCCATGTATCATTATCACTGAATGAATCTGTAAAATTGCATGAATCCGTGAATCCATGGAAGCCAACTCTGCTGAAAAAAAAGACTGGAGCACAAATGGAAGATGAGACACAAGTTCTTTACAAGAACGTTCTCAGGATATTGAATAAACTAACCCTGGAAAAATTCTACAAACTTGTTGGACAATTGCGAGCATTAGAAATTGACACGCAGGAGAAATTGCAAGGTGTTATTGATCTGGTATTCGACAAGACGATTAATGAGCCAAATTTTGCTGTAGTGTATGCTCTGATGTGCAAAGAACTTGGATTGATAAGAGTTAATACATCAAATGAAAAAAATTCGTCCCAGGTAACTGAAAACCCAGATGCGAATGTAAATTTCCGCAAGCTACTTCTTAATCGGTGTCAAATGGAGTTTGAAAAAAATAAAACTAATGACACACAGAGAACTGAAAAGGTCAAAAAAATTGAAGAATGTAATGACGCTAAAAGGAAAAAAGATTTGCAGGCTGATCTTGCAGAGTATGATCGTAAGATTAGAATTAAATCTGTTGGAAATATTAAATTTATGGGTGAATTGTACAAACAAAGAATGTTGACGAGCAATATAATGAATAAATGTATCAATCATTTATTGCAAACGCCGGATGAAGAAAATATAGAACGTTTGTGTAAACTACTGACGACTATTGGAAAAATATTCGAAATAAAAAATGACCTTTCGTTTTACTTTAAGAAATTACCGGAGCTTACTAATCAAAAGGGAGTAAATAAGATTAGCTCTAGAATAAGATTCATGATCCAAGATATTATTGATTTAAGAGCAAACAAATGGGTTCCTCGTCATGTTGACAATAATCCTAAAACAATAAGTCAAATTCAAAAGGAAGTTGAGACTGAACAATTTATCAACACACATTTAAATGCTTCATATAATCCATCACAAAATTCTCGTTCTGATAACAAACCAAGAAGACGTAGGTTTATTTTTTATTTTATTAAATAATAAATTTTAATTTTTTTGTTTAAAATTTTTTTTTTGTTCTGTAGATGAGACGGTGTTGAGTAACAAAAATTCTTATATGTGGAACCAGCCAGCTCCTGCAATATTGTCATCTAATAAATTTTCTATTCTTGGTGCTAAGCTTGAAGAGCAAATCTCAAGGAGACGTTCAAATGTTGGATCACAATCTACAGGATTTTCCGAGAGGTCTAATGATGAATACATTCAAACATCGATTAGTAACAGCCAGCAAAGAAACCGAGTTCCCTTGGTTGAGCAAACATCAACATCAGTTTCAAGTCAAGTTTGTATGAATAAATCTCTGAAGTGTGAAGTAATTAAATCACTTTTGAACACTTGCGAAAATTTTGCAAGCACTGAAGAATTTATTAAAGCTGCTGAAGAGACGATTGCGTATGACTTCGATAGTTCTTCGTACGAATTTTTTGTCAGTGAAGCAATTAACTGTGTGCTTGAAAAGTCCAAGACTGTACGTAAGCGATTCTCGGCTTTACTGTCGTACATGATGGAGAAAAATATTATTTGTCTATGTTTGTTCCAAAGAGAGTTCAAAAAATTATTAGAAATTAAAGAAGATCTAGTAATTGATATTCCTAATTGTCAAACATACCTTGTAGAAATTTTGTCCGGGTTATTGATTTCAGGCGCTCATCCATTTGTTGAATTGAAGAAAACGCTAGCTGTACTTAAAAGTACAGGTTGTGGAAAATTCTTGGGAGAATTATTATCTACTGTAGCAAAAGATCAAAAGCATGAGTGGGTAGCTGGTGAATGGAAAAAGAGTGGACTAACCTGGTCCGATTTGGTCGACACTCAAAAAGAATCAGTTGATGAGATTATTAAAAATTACAGTTTGGAATTTTTAACTGGTGATTCTGCAACAATAAAAAAATCATCCCAGACAGATAATTGTTATTTTGACAAAACTTTTAATCATTTACTGGCTTGTATGCGTCAAAGCAGTGTAATTGACTTTATTACTTCTTTCATAACTGTAAGTATTTAATTAATGATTTTTTTTTTTAATCAAATTAGCATAGATTTTATTTTATAATGACTTTTTATGGTTTTAGACGAATTTTGGAGAGCAACCAGCTGAGCCTAAATTTTCCAGGTGTCTTATTGTTGCAATTTTGACCGTTTCTGTTGGTAAGTTTAATTATTTTTTTTTTGTAAATAGATACGTTTTAATTTAATTGCATTAAATAATTTTGTTTCTTATATATTAGATACTGAAAACGGATCTTATAAATTGAATACTGAAAAATTTAAACAACTCTTACCACTATTAACACGATATGTTGATGATGATCCAATAAAGGAACTTGAAGTACTTTTTGGAATTCAACATTTTATTCACGGCTTATTGTATCCTCAAGGTATGTTTTTATATTACTCTAAATTAAATCAGACCAAAAAAATATTTTGTAACTATTGCACTTAGATTTTTTACAAATGAAAATTATTTTAATTTTTTTGTAATGATTTTTTTAATATAAAAAAATTCTTTAAGTTTTTAGATGTCGGCTAACTTAATTTTTATTTTTTTTATTTATAATAATTAATTGTTATATTTTTTTATTAAAGGGCTAATAAGCAGCATAGATGCGGTAATTTACGACGATGGTATTATTTCAAAAGAAGCTTTTTTGACATATGGCAAGAATCCGAAGACCCTGCAAAGTGAACAATATGACTCTAAAGAATAGTTATCTAATGGCTTATTTTTATAATGATTCACGTATTGTTAAAAACAAACAGCCTTTTTATAAATTTTCATTATGAGTTATTTATTAAATAAATTTACTTAATTAAATCTTTATAACAAAATTATATTAGAAATTTTTTCGGTTCCCATACTATAGATTTTATTACAATAAATATATTAATTATTTATATTTATTCTAGCAGGATTGAAATTGCATCATAATCAATAAATTTTTTATATACAGAGATTATGCGTAAGTTAAGTGTTGATCGATGTCGGAAGATTTTAAATATTGTGGACTGATGCCTGGCTGGATAAAATTAATCTACTAAAAAATTATGGCGTCAGACTCGGTGATAGTTGAAGAAAATAACCCTCCAAACTACCAGGTATATCCTTTTAAATTCCATCAGTAAAAATTTTAATAATAAAATATTGATAATATTTATACGTCAAAAAATTTTTTTTAACTAATTTTGTTCATATAAAAATATTTGGCAAGCTATTGGGTTGTTTCGTTTTTCTTTTTTACTAAATCGACCAGTTGACGATATCGTAGCTGGCATTCCTCCTAAAAAATCCAAGAAAACAATTTTTATTTATTATTCCAATCATAAACTAATCAAACAATTATATTTGATACGTACTTTCGTTTTTCCTTCAATACAATTGGCTATTTTTTCCCACCTATCAACAGAAGAGCTTTTAGGATACTTCAACAAAGCAGCTTCCAAAGCTTTCTGTTCTTCTTGACTCCAAACGACATCACTTTCAGGATTTTCTGCTCTAGTCTTAACTTTCTTCGGCTGTTGAACCACCGAAGGTTCTTCAGCAGCCTGATTCGGTTTCAAACCCTCGTCTTTTATTTTTTTAGCCATATGCGTTACTTCACTGACACTGCGGTTCATAGTCTCAGCTATTTTTTCCCACCGATCAGGCGTACCTCCGGGAAATTTTTTGACTAACTTTATTAGCTCTAGTATATCATCATCGGTCCAAAGACCACCCGTATACTTAGGCTTCTCATAAACGTGATTAGCCCGAATGTTATCCTTTTTTTTTAATTCATTAGAATTATTACCACTTTGTTCTTGTGGTGTAAATCCAGCGCGACGTCGCCTTGGACCTCTTGGCACAGGTTCAGGTTCTACTTGTTCATTTTCTTCAGCTCTGAAAAGATAAATATGTTTAAAATTAAATTATAAAATAACTTATTAATGAAATGAAGGAAAATTAATTACAATGCAGCTTGTTCTTCTAATTTTCGCCTCTTACGCTCTTCAATCATTTCTTTAATTGCTCGTATCGTTGATGGAATCCCTACGATTGACGCGAAAGTCCAACATGGTAATTGGAACGGCAAGGTGTTCCACACACTAGGCGTAGGAATTTTTTCAAGGATATCTGCCAAGTCTGGTACTTCCATTTTGCCTTTACGATTTTTCTTTTGTAATTTTTGTAATTTGCTACCTAGTACTTGTTCCTATTTATAAAAAAAAAAAAAAAAAAAAAGCATTATTTTATTCCTAAAAAAAAAAATTTTTTAAAACAAAGTCATACTATTAAAGCTATAAAATTATTGATACTATTATATGTTTAATTTCAAATGGTCTAGAGCTATAAAACCGATTGTAATCGTCAAGCAATAAGTAATAAAATTCATTCCTTTAATTACTATTGTTAAAAAAATTACGTAGTTTTTGTTCGATTACTTATTTTTAGAATAAATATTTAGATATTTAATTTATTTTAATCTATTAAATAACTAAAAAATTTTTGGAATAAAAAAATTAATTTAGTAAATTTTATAAAAATTAATTTAGCAAATATTTAATAATTTTTTTAACAAAAAATTATGGCAAAAAATTGACATTTAGAAATTTAAAAAAAACTAGAATTGCAATTTTTTTTAGAACAAATTTATTTGTTAAATAAAATTAATGAATTGTCATATGACTGCTAACTAATGTAATTAAATTTTTACTTACATAAGTATATCGTTTTTCAAAATAAGCAGCCCATGCTACAATATATTGACCAATTGTTATAACGATAAATAATATAACACTCATTTCCAATAATCCCATTTTTCTAACATGACGATAATAATAAACAGCTGACCGCCAATTTGGCAGTCCATTGACGAGAACATTGTCATAATGTTTCCTTTTATTTGTATCTCTTAAAACATCGTACACAGAGACTAACTGAAAGTAATTAATAAAAATTTATTGCACTAAAAATAAACCAATACTTAAAAAATAAATATTGAGAAATTTTATTGAACCCAATATTCAATTTTCAATTTATTTCTGAATAAATTTATAATTCAAAAGCTAATTGAATTATTCAAATTATTAAAAAAAGATATACTTACATTTCTAAACTTAACATCAGCATCAGGCGCATCATTTTTATCAGGATGCAGTTGTAGTGATAATTGCCGAAAGGCTTTTCTGATACTCGTCGCATTGGCATCCTTCAATAAAAAATAAATAAGTGTTAGATAGAAATTATAAAATAATTATTTTTGAATTATAAATAAAAAATTTACCTGCGTTAAGCCGAGAAGTTGGTAGAAATTTTGATTAACTTCCTCGACTACATCAAAAACTTCTAATTCATCATCGTCCCAAGCGAAAGAAACATTACATATGTTTAAAAATTGTAAAGTGATGAAAATAATAGCTACAAACTTCATTTTTTATTACACACTAACTATCATATCACTAAAAAATTTTTAAATTTATTTATTAATATTTAATTACACCTATTTCAAGGAATATATTATTATTAATTAATATGATGGCGAATTAGTGAAAACTGATAGTTGAAATTCCTTTTAAATGCCACATTGTTACAAGATAAATGTCATTTACACGTTTACTTTCCTCGAACTCACTTTGAGGGCTCTGAAAGACAATCAGAATTTTTGATTCGTTCCTAGAAAAACTTATATTTCATAAAAAACAAACATGTGGTGACTTACCAATACATACACAAAGTTGAGATTATGAATCTATAAGTATTGAAGAATTTTTACAAGTGAGGTTATCTTCTATCTTCTTCATATCATTAGTTTTCTTTCTTGTTTAGTTGGTATGTATCCCTTTTCGCGGGTACTATACCAACATCTGTCAATATAGATGGCGTGCTACTTCAACAGAATAATAAACGATGACAGTTTTTTAGTTTTTTCTATAAATTTCTCATATTTACAAATAAATAATATAAAATTTAATTTTTTTTTTTTCAGATGTCTTCGCAGTTCCAAGTTTTTTTACACTCAAGTTTTTAATATTTATAAGAAGAATATCAACTTTACTTCTTCTATCCAAAAAATAGTGTCAAATATCAATTAAAATTAATTTTTTGCTTATGAAGAAATCAAGGAATTAATTTTCAAGTTAATCATAAAGAACTTCAAGGTATTGTTGAATTTTAAAGAAATTTAAGTTTTTAATAAGAAGTATATAATTTTTTTATTTATTTAGAAAAGAAGAAACAATGAAAATTAAAATAACATACTTGATAATTTTATGAAAATTAAGTTAACCGACATTTAAAAATATTTTTTCACCAAGAAATAAGAAGAAATCGGAAATAAAAGTTAAAAAAAATTGATTTAAAAATTAAAAAACAAGAAAACAAGTTTAATTTTTATTTCTTCTTAAATAATATATCTATGAGACTATGAGATTGATTATATTTGAAGGAAATGAATAGGAATGATATTTACGTGGATCAAGGAAAGTTAAACAAATATGTGACAGGTAAAAAAGAAATACCCTCCGAAATGATTGACTAAAGAGCAATAAAAAATCGATAAATAATACGCAATGACTAAAAATGAATAATAAAATAAGTGTCGACGCACATGATACATACATTGACCTTCTGGGCATATTATAAATATTCATCCCCTGATGGAAAATACATGAATATAATACTATACATGAATTCTACACCTGTAAACTGAAACTGAAACGTTATAGCGCAGAATCCACCCCCGATATATACAAAGACCCTTCCAACAGAGAATTCGGCGTCGCTTATCGTTTCTCTTTGTATAATGGTGCAGACTATCCGCATCTTCACTATCACACCTACTCTTTTGATAATCTTCTTAAGCCAAGTAAGAGTGATAGGACTGAGTAAGAAAAATATTAAATAATACTTTTAGCATTAGAAAATTATATTAGTTACTTATTTTGCCAAAAAGTAAACAACAGTTTAACAATGATGTAGTGCGGTTATACATGAGAAAATTTTTGATCTGCATCCGTTTCAAGTCGATCAATACGAGTTGTTTCTTCGGCTCTTTGGAGTCACTATAAACTCTATCAACTAAATCAAGTGTATTATTTCTTTATGCGTAAGTTAAACTATTTTTTTTTTATTTTTTATATTACAAATCGATACACTAACTCACTATTAATTATTTATTGTTGTTACGTATAACAACACACTGGAGTGAATGTTAATTTGGAAATTACTATTATTCATCTATTATAAATATTTAGTTTTATTTTTAAACATTTATTCTGGTCAATTGACACTTCTGCAAAAAATGAGTATAAGTATGTTGACGGCTTTATATTTGACGTAATAACTAGTTTTATAGATCTATTGTGTTATCATAAGTGTATATATCAATAATAGTTTGATGTTTGTTCTACCCTTGAAGGTCTCTGCTAAATTCTGCAATGGAGGGCATGAGTAAGTGTTTTGATTGCATTTTAATTCCTCTATTTATTTTCATTGTCCTTGTAAGCTTCTGTCACTTTTAATAATCATTATTACTTATCTAACATATACTCATTGTTTTTTTAATCCAAAAAAATTATTTAAATTTTCAGTTGCTCTCCTCCAAAAGAGTGCTGCTCACTGGGCTGTTGTTATATGTATTCACAGCCAACAACTCCAGTCACCGAAATGTTCGCGTTCTTGATTTGGACTTATTGGTATTTATGGTGCGTAAAATTTTTTATTTTTAAAAATCAAGTGTTTTAATTGTAAAAAGTTACTCCAAACTTAAAAATTTCAGAGTAAAGTTTGGTAATAAATTTTGCAACGCCGAATATTGATGTTATTAAAAATAACTCTCCAATCAAGTTGAATGGATTTAAAGATATTTTTATTATTTCTGGAGTTAAATTTATTCACTATCCTTATTCAATTTTATTTTTTTTTTTTAATTATTTTATTATTTAATTTTACAAAATTATTTCTTCCCGAAAAAATACATAAAATTTCAAGAAAATTTTTTTTTTATAATAAAAATTATTACATTAAAATTAGCAGTTACTTATTTTAATTTTATTTAACAAAAAAATTTTATATAAAAAGTTATTTTTAAAAAATTGCATTTTTAATTTTTTTAAATTTCTAAATGTTAATTTTTATAAAAAATTTTTTTAATTGAACAGGGCAGCAATATTAGCAGGATTAACACTTGCTGCGGTGTGTGGATGCTGGCTATGGCAACGACGTCGATTAGGATCATCGGGTGATAGCTCAATATCTGATCGTGCATCATCATCATCATTTTACCCGCCACCACATTACAGTCGTTGCAGTTCTTTTGTCCAGGCGCTGCCACCTCCGTATAATGAGGTAAGCAAAACATTTGAATAAAAGTATGTAAATATATTTATATGCGTATGATAAGTCATGAGTTATTAGATATAACATCACCTAATTGGATTTATTAATATGCACGATATATTAAGGTAACGGCGAAACCGGATTTGTACCCATTAGTAATCGGATTTGACGAAGGAATGGGCAAAGGAACATCAGGTTTTGTAATGCGATACTTCCGTACATTGTCACACGCAAGTACTTTGGACTCACTCAGTTCGAGTTTCATGTGTAATGTAGTGAATGAAGCTAATACTATTATTCCACCTCCGTATTCGTGTAACAACAGTATCGATGAATTATCTACGATGGGGTGCGATAGAGTGGAAATCGGTGCTGGGGAATCCGTTGTTTCACTTGCCAATAATAGAACAACCTCAGACATATCAAGCTTAGCGGGACAATCACCGTGTTCCCCACCTAGAGCTACTAGTCCAACGTTAGAGGTATGTATTTTGTAATTAAAAATTAATTAATTAATTTGCTTGGTATTTAATTAATTTAAATTATAAATTACAGTTACGAGAATTGTTAGACAAAATTCAACAGCTACCAAATGAACACAGTAGCAATATGATAAATCATCAAAACCGAGCGCAAGCGCTGCATTCATCAAATATTAATTCATCATTACAAAGACCACCAAGTCCTAATGGTGAATGTGCATCCTCGCGTATGAGACGGGCTCGAGGAAAAATGTACATGCCTTTAGGATTGCCTAATTCGAGAAATAAAACAAAGCGATGGCTTTCTAGATCAGCGCCTACTACTCCATCCGGTAATATTCCAATGGCTTTATTTCCCGGACAAAATATGAGGCCTTCGGTACACGATAATTACAATCAACAAGTTATACCATTGTTGTCGGAACAAGAAGAAACCGATAATATTAATAGTATTGAAAATTCACATAATGTTACTTCATTATTGAGAGAACGGGAGGAACAATTATGACAACAATAATTATAGTTTATTATTAATTATTACCATTATTGATATTAATCATGTAATTAGATGTAACATTTTAATAATCGATCTATTATGTCGATTGTGTTATATATTGTCTTTTATGAAATTTAAAAACAGTCCTTGAATGTAACGATTCAAACGTTATTGAAATATCAAGACTGCTACTGACCGGGTGAAGATTACTAGTCATTTTATATAGGATTTTAAATAATAGTTAAGTTAGCCGATATTTTTAATTAAAAAAAATTTTTTTTATTTAATAAATTATAACTAAAAAATATTTTTTAAAAATTGCACTTGTAGTTTTTCAATTTTATTATTTTTTTCATTTGTCAAAAATTAAAAAAACTATAAGTGCAATTAAAAAAAAATTTTTTTTTTTTAGTTTCAATTAAATAAACTAAATAAAAATGTCGGCTAATTTTATTATTATTAATTTTTATGGATTTTAATTGTTTTTAATGTCTCTAGTTATATTATTTAAAAAGTATCAACACGTCTAGTATATTACTGCTGATATTTTCAAGTAAAATTAAAAAGTTCATATATTATGAATTTTTTTAACTGCCTATACGCGTTGTCATTCATTTTTTGTGAGTATCTGATATAAATTATTAAAAAAAACAATAGCTTATAAAAATCAATAGGAAGAATATAAATTAATTCAAGTAATTATATTTAATTTAATTTTTATAAATTTTAACTAAATTTGATAGTAAAATTTTTTTCAATGAAAATACATCGAATTAAAGATATTTGCTTATTCTTAACTGAAATAAATAAAATTATGGAAAAAGTATTACAATTGCGAATTAAAAAAAAAGCTTATAAAAGTTTAAATAAAAAATAAAGAATTTATATCTTCTTGATTCAATTTAAATATATTAATTAATTTACAAAAATCCATCCAATAAAATACCACCCGGAAGAAAAATAAAGCATGAAATAGTATAACATTTTTATGACAATATGCATTGTTAAAATAATAATAATAATTACAATAAAAATAATTTAAAAACGACGCGATTGCATTAAAAAGTCAATGTAAAATATCAAATCCGTCAAAAAATAATTATTATGTTTTAAATGGGCAGTGATAAAATAGTTTGCACTCGTTTATATATGCCCAGGTGCACAGACATGTATTAGACATCATAATAATTACCAACAAATAATAATAATAATAAAATAACTAATACGAAAAAAATTAAATAATGCACTAAAAGTGAAAAAACATTCGATATAAATAATTAATTAATTATTAATTAATAGTAGATAAAAAACAAATTCAAAATTTTTGGCAAGTACAATACGCACATTGTGTAATGCGATCACAAACTTTGGATAGTTAAATTTTGAATAAATGTGTAGTCTAAAAAAAAATGTAAAATAAATTTTGTCAAGCGGCCCGATTTATTATTATACAATATATCATCTACATACGTCACGTATTGCCATGTATTTTTTTATAAAGTATGAATAAAATATGAATTCAAGCTTTTATTTTTCAATTTATTTCAAGTTTTGAATTTAAAATTAATCTTTTTAATTTTTTACAAAAAATATTAAATAAAATAATTATAACAAAAGTAGAAAAATAAATATTTTTATGGAAATATCGAAACAACAATTTTAGCAATTTATTAATTTATTTATTATTATTATTGAATAATAAATATAATACTTATACCACTTTATACGTTACAGTACGACGGATAGAGTAATAGACTTGTAGATAATTTTTTTTAGCATGCTAATGGACGTAAAATTAATTATTACTTTCATAAAAATTATTTTGAGAAATGTTAGTTAAAAAAAATGCTGAGCTATTGAATTACCAGCAAGTAATTAAATAGTTTTAACTGGCATCTTTTTATGTATTCATTTTACCAACTAATGAGTATATTTTTTTAATTAGGTCTTACTATGTATTTAGTAAGTAAATTTATAACATTCACAATTTATAAAAAATAATAAAATCCTTTGACATTTAATGAAAAAAATTATTAAAATAAAATTTATATTGCAGTAATACATTAAATAATTAAAACTAATAATTTTAGTGAAAAATTAACTTCACTTTTATTTTGAATAAAAACAAATTTTTGTCTCTCCTTTGTTTCTCATTTCAATAATAAGCATTTAAGACTAAGTAAATGTTCTTTTACATATATACAAATCCAAACAATTAAACAGGGTGCATATTACAATTGTACCCTGTTAAAATATATCACATATTGAAAGAAGAAAGTTAAAAAGCAAATTAAGTTACGTATATAATTATCCAATCCAAGCTTAATTTTAATTACGTAACTTTTTTTTTTTTTCCTTAAAATGTTTGCCAGTATCTACTGTTTAACAATAAATAACGCTAATTGTAGTATTTAACTTTTCCATAACAATACGATCACAAAGTACATTTACACAATATTTTTTAGGTCATATTATAAATTTTACTTAAACAATATAATATTTATAATCTTAATGTGCGTACGGACGAATATATTTTAAATCTTTATGCATTCAAGTTAAACTATATAAATATATTTATTTATAAATATAAAAAATGCTTGACTAATTGATAAAAAAAAAAAAAAAAATCACGTACTTATTTTTTGATGCTTGTCAAGCACTGTCCATATTTTTTAAAACATATTATTATGTTTAAGTGGTTTTTTACATCAACTATTTATTGACTTACCTATCAGACTTTTCTTTTAGAGATTATTTAGAATTATTCAATAATTCTCGTCATGGTGTTAAAATTATTAACTATGCTTTTCTTCAAAAATTCTATTTCAACTGGCCGTTTGGTATATATGTCTTAAAAATTTGGTATCCATTTAGTATAAATTTATAAAAATGGTGTAAAAAGTTTGTATAGAAAATTTTATAAAAAGATTTATGAATTGTTTCTTTACTATTGAAAAAAAAAAAAAAAAAAATCCCTATCTAGAGAAAATATATCATGGTATTATTATGCAATACTTGTATGGTTATTAGCTCCACTGATAGCACTGAAAAGTGCTGCGCTATTGCGTTTAAAGCTTCCAACTTGGTCGTCAGGCCATATTGATTCTCCAAGTAATGAAGATAAATTCTGACACAACTTCTGATAATTCTCCCTCAAAACTTCTTGATATTCATGCTGATCACTAGTAATTAATTTACTATTTATTTGCAACGCCGTGTAGCATATTTTAATAAAGTCTCTAAAAACATCCTTCAGCTCTTCAACTTTGTCGTCTGGATACTGCGGTGATAAAGCAGGATCTAAAAATGCTGATGCATATGTAAGCGGTCCGGCATTGACAGTAACACAAACGCTTCCTTGAAGTCTTAGTTGCAATTTTTTAACATCAGTTGGTGCTAGCAAAGCAACATCCTCCAATTCTTGCACGCGCTGTCTCATTTCATCCAACGCTACTTCTATGGGTGTCAATTCTATTATTTTCTTCTCTATTATTGGGATCCGCTTTTTTATGTATGGAAATGAATATTGCGTTGTTATTATTGTTCTTCGCTTCCATTGATCCTCAGGATTTCCGCGTGGCTTGCCTTCGTGGGTGAACGGAGTTTCAAACATAAAACACGAAACATCGTGATTTTGTTCAAATTCTGTTAAACGTGATTCTAATTCTAATTTTTCAAAGTACGGTGTCACGTGTGTTACTTGAATGTAAGCCATTTTTTGATCAAGATCACTAAGTTTTATCGGTGCGGAGTCCATTATCATTTTAACATTTTCTACACCGAATTTTTCAGCAAACAAACGGTGTAGCCTTTCTGATATTTCCGGTAAGGATGTTACTTTAGGCTCTTTATAAATGTATTCTTGACCATTTTCTTCTTCAAAATAGGCCTGAATAAAAGAAAAAATAGTAGTAAGAATTTTTTTTTTTTATGACTTGTAGACTATAAATAAATAAAATTTTGCTTTATTAAATGATGACTTTTATTAAATTGCACTGTAATTTCTTAACTATTGACATTTTTAAAGATATAAGCTCATCCCGACGTTACTCTCATCAAGAGCTTTCATTTGAGTACCCACATGAATTTTTAATATATTTTTCATATATACATATAATATAATATATATAAATATATAAAATATATGAAAAATTGATGTGGGTACTCAAATGAAAGGTCTTGATGAGTGTAATCTCGGGTCCAGGGTATAAGGTCATTTCTTAATTATGTATCTAGAGATAGAGAATTTTCGAATACAGTTTAAATACTAATCATCTTAAATGAACTTCTAAATTAAATTAACTCTTATTATATAAATTACGTAATTAAAAAAAAAAAAAAAGAAAAAATTACTTACTGAACCGAAAAATGCAACACGATAAAATCTTCCAAGCAATCTTTTTCCCGTTTTTGTTACCTCCACAATTTTATTACAAGCTTGAGTAAGATGAGAGTAGCAATTAGATAATGCATCATAATTGCGCTTGTTCTCATAAATGGGAACAATTAAACGATATAATGGTCCCAGCAATTCAAAACGTTCTGCTTTTTCCAGCATTTCAGCGCAACTTTCTAATTGTTCCAATAGAATTGATTCATTATAATGTATATCTTGTACCCCTAAAATCCAAAATTATTATAAAATAATTTAATCTGATAATAAAATCATAGATTAAGAAAATTTAGATATAGCAATCCATGCGACATTGAAACAAAAAGTCTAAAAAGCGAAGCATGCATTATCTACAAACAACAACGACACCACATACAAGTCTCACCAGCATCAAGCTTCAATCCTCGCTCATCTTTAGAAATATTAACAGATATTTTGTCAAATGCTTCAGCTCCCCATGAGTGTATTTTTTTCAGTTTTAAATATTCGGCCATTAATGCAGCGATATGTAATTGACAACAAGCAGCCTAAAAAATAATCTCGTTATATTTTTTAATGAATAAATAAATAATTAAATTAAATTAAATTAAATTAAATTATTTACCTCTGAGTAATTTCCATCTCTAGCATGATTACGAGCCATAGTTTCGAGCCAAGTATGCCGTAATTCCGGAGTACTGGCGTATGAATTGGCGAGGCTGTGTTGTAAATCGACAAGCATTTCCGGATCATTGTTGTGCTCTCTCATTTGTGCAGTAGCCATTAAAACAGTACGAATTCTTTTATTCAAATCTTTAACTTCAACGGGGAACCCAGTTCCCTTCATAACTTTGTCAGATGTCGCATAACTATTGATCAGCGAAAGAGATTCTTGGAATCGTGAATTATTTAATCCAATTACATTGCCAAGCATTTGTGATACGGATATAATAACCTTCATAATAGACAAATTGTTAATTAATTATTTACAAATAAAAAAGAAAATTTAATAATTATTATTTACCTGTAAATGTACTCGTATTAACCCTTTTCTGTTTGTAAATTCAAAATTACTACGCATCAATAAATAAAGCAAAGCACACGACTCTTGTCTTATAGAACTTAATTTACTGTTACAGCAGCGCAATAATTCATAACAAAGGCGTCCACAGAACACTGCATTGCCTGTAAATAAAAACAATTATGATTTAAGTAAATATAAACAATTTGTTTTATATTTTAAATAATATTCATACCCTTAAATAATGCAGTAGAATAATTATTGAGAAAGGCTCGTAAGCTTGCAAAAACATGTCGAAACAGTGTTTCAGATTGACCGAGTTGAAGAAATGATAAATAAATATTGAAAAGTTTTTGCATCACAGGATTATCTCCATCATTAACAAGAAGTACATCCTAAAATTAAAGAATAAATTGTCAATTAATTACTGGTAAAAATAATTATTACAAGCAACCTTGCAGTCACTGTGTGAACAATAAATAAATAAAATTTTGCATTATTAAACAATGACTTTTGTTAAATTGCACTGTACTTTTTTAACCATTGACATTTTTAAAGATATAAGCTTATCCCGATGTTACACTCATAAAGAGCTTTCATTTGAGTAACCACATGCATTTTTGATATATTTTTTATATATACATATATATATAATATATACAAATATATAAAATATGTGAAAAATTGATGTGGGTACTCAAATGAAAGGTCTTGATGAGTATAACATCGGGATGAGCTTATATCTTTAAAAATGTCAATAGTTCACAAGATATAAATTATAAATTTTGCTTATTCTCTTAATAATATAGATAAGTAATTAAAAAAAAAAACTTACTTTAAAATGAATGCAAAACAATCCAAGACAATCAAGAACAATCAATCCAACTTCAGTAGCCATATTAGCTTCCAATAACGCCTGATGATTAAGCGCATTGTCTTCATCGACTAAATTTTCACGAGTCGACGTATTATGTGGCTGTAATGTACCAGTTCCAGAAGTGTCATTTGAAAAATCAGGAGGTGCCATTCTAGCAGGCAATGTCATGGCTTTCACAGTTTTAGGTTTCCCACTATTCGTAGTAGTACTATTCGCTACAATCAATCTCTTACCGACGTACTTAAAGTGATACAAACTCATTTCAATAATACTAAAAAAACTTATTATCTCCGTTTCAGAGCATTGTTGCCACCATGCAATAACTTGATGATCCCCCAGATATTTAACGACAAACAAGAAGCATAATAATAAATCTTTCATTTCAGAAGATTGAAGCTTGTCGCATCTAGAGGATGCTTGAGCAAGACTGACGGATCTTGAGTGTCCCTTTTTTTCTGAAATACCATTTTCCGTTGGCTCTCGAGCAATCGTCGTCTCTTGAGAGACGAGTGAGTGAGATGTACTCGACAATGTAGACGTACTGGACTCAATGCTAGTACAAGAGAATCCATTAGCTAAACCCTGTCCAGCAATTGCGGCAAAATAAGTCGAGTCTCTGAGATGCATCGAGGCTCTTATTGGAGACTGCGAGTCTAAATGCAGAGTGAAGCGGTGAACAGATTTAGGTGTGTCTCCTTGTGCGACTCCATTAACTTGGTCCTTATTGATCAAGCAATTACTGCTGCTGCTGCTGGACAGCCGATTTGCTGCTGCGTGATTCTGTTTTAAATCAGTCTTTATGTCAGTCTCGTAAACTGATTGTAATCTATGTAAATTTTCTAAAACAACACTCAAAAATGGAATATAAATAGCTGCAATACGGCTCAATTGTCCTTTGTTTTGATATCTGTCATCCAATTCGTGTTTTGCTAATAAATCTCGTAAAGTAGCAATTGCCACTTTTCGAACCTGGACAATTTCATTTAACGAAGACTTAATTTCTTGCAGTAATAACCCCACTAAGAAATGGTGCTTGCAGAAATCTTGAGACAAGCAATACTCCAACATTAAATCTGAAAAATTTTATAATCAATTAATATCAATTTAATAAATTTTTTTTCATAAAAAGATTTGAATATTATAAATATAAACGACAAAATGTATTGTGCATGTGTTAATTGTAAAATTAAAAAATAACACATGTGCTAGGTTTAGTGTATTAAAAAACATTTATTAAAAACAAAACTCCCATTCACTAGTATCTACAAGTAAATTAAAAATAACAATGTTGGTTGATTTATTATTGTAAAGGGAGTTTACAAGGTCAGAACGTACCATCACCTTCCGGCTCTGATTCTGAGTCTTCACAAAAGCAATAAAATACATTATAAATTGTTTTCATTAATATTTAAAAATGTATTAGATAATAGTTATTTGATTTGAGAAAAGTTTAGAAGAAAGTAATAAACTTACCCTTACTTGTAACGCGCGTTTGCATCATAGGTAAATTAAATGACACATAATGCTCGTGTGAGCACAAAATTTGGAGGAATGTAAATTTAAAATCTTGCAATGTTCGTGCTTCACCTGGCGAAAAATTGTCCATGTAATCATTTATTAATGAAAATACAAATCCACGGTCCATAAACGTCAGACATTTCTGTAATATAATAATAAAAATTAATTATAATATATATATATAAAAAAATTTTTTTAATACAATTACCTTTAAAAATTGTCCAAGACTCTTGTTGAGTTCATGCGTTTCAACCGGCATGTCTTTATATTTATTCATAAGATAAGGTGTAAGAACTTGCAATAATTTTTTAATATTATCATGATAATCCTTAGTAAATCTTTCATTGCGATGCATTTTAATCCTTCCACTACTGAGCATGTGTTGAGCCATACTTTTGACCATAATATCAAAAAAGAAATTGGAATGATGCATGAATTTATTTACAACCAAAAAATCAGTGTTGTTTGGATGCAGTAGAGTAGGTAAATATTTAGCGAGTTGTTCATGAACAGTAGTAGTAGCTGTGTCTTTAGACGGTAGCATAAACACAAATTTAACATAAGCATGAATAATTTCTTTCCTCTGAGCCTTATAAATTAAATTAATAATATGAATTAGCAGTCGTATAATGTAAAGACCGACTTCATCCCCTGGATTGCACGTCAGCAGTGCAAATAATTGATTTAATATTGTCGGTAGGAATGTTATTGCTGTAACTAGTTGAATAGCGTGTGCTGCTTTCAATATTTTACACGTTTCTGAATCAGACGGTATACCCGACAATTTATTGTCCAATATTCTTTCAGCGTGTACAAATAAATTATGTAAATGTGGATCTCGTGTGAATACCGTTGATGACAATTGAAATGATACACTGAATATTGGTCGTTGCGTATCAATCCAAGTGATGTCTGGTCCAGCGTTGCCTTTACCAAGTCCGAGAGGTTGAATTGATAAATAACCCGGTGGTAAATCTGTTGCGACTGGTAATGTCTGTATATTATTTTCCATATCAACTGTTAATTTTCCTTTATGTAACAACAGCATCCACGAGTAACCGACACAATTTTCCACGCCGTTTTCTTTTTTTTTATTCATATCACAGCTGATATGATAAAAAGAAAATAACAGGTGATGTTTATTGTCCAGCTTAGTCGGCAATCTCATTTTTATTTCTTCATACCAGGATGGCACAGCACTGTGATGCAAAACAGTGCAACTGGCGCGTGTCGTTAGTATTTGTGCGCCTGGTTTACCATAAATACACCTCAATGGTTTAGCATTTTCATTGTCATTATCCCGCAGCTCAACAATACAAGCGATATTTCTCGCTCTAGTAAAAATCTTTTGAGTATCAAAGTTTAAAATTTGAGGATAAATATACAGATGATTTACATAAGTCGTGTAAGGATGCACGTCTTTTTCAGACGAGCTTTCAAACTCTGAGACTTCGAATGTTGGATTACTAGCCGGAGGCAATGGAAAAGGCTTCAAGGGAGCCAAGAAGGTAGTAAGAGAATTTTCAGGAAGTTCCGCAAGTGGTTCGATGATGAGTTTTATCCAACCAGGAATGACAGTCAGCTTGCTTAATTTATCAGGCTTCCGGTACTCAGTGAGCATCTTCAGCAACTCATCATCCCGCATTTTATTGCTTTCTTGGCGATAAATCGCCGGAAAGTCTGAGGAGGTATCCAGCTCATTACTGTACAGTCTGAATAGCGGCCTGGCTGACCAAGCAAACGGCATACGATAGTTACCGAGTCTCTGGCAACAAGCTCTGACATTTTTGTGGACTTTTAAACCCAATCGCGGGTCTTTGGTGGCTCGAACGTACGGCTCAGACGTTTGGCAAATACTTCCTTGGAGAATTTTTTCAATTCTTACAACGAGAAAAATATCCGGGTGTGGATTACTAATACTGAAGATAGCTTGCTTAGGATATTTAATCCATTTATCAGGTATATTTTTCAACTCGCTCGGCAGCTCCGCTTTATCATTGTCAGTTAATTCACTCACGGGACTCAATTCTTGAACCATATCACGAACTATCTCATGATTAATATCAAAGTGAAAATTTTCTGACAATTTTTTTCCGTTTCTCGCGTCAAACAGACTTAAAGTCGTGTAATAAGGCTCAACTTGGCAAAGAGATTCATTTTCATCTATTGGAGCTTGAAGCCTAAATTTAAGAGTTTCACATTTGATAAATATCCTCTGTCCAAATTGCTCTTTATAAGGATCTACATTCCCGTCAATTAAATTCCCTTGAGTCTTACCAAGCGTTAAATGATGATACAAATTAAACAAACGTTTTCTATTTTCTCGCCTGCTCAATAAAATACTTGTATCAGTTTCACGTGAGTATTTTATCAACTGCGGATTCATACTCTGATCCAGTCCTTTCAACGTTCCATAAGTTTGCACCGGTATTGGGGACGGTGGCGGGGTGTGACAAGTGCGCTCTAACGAAGCAGCCCGTTTTTCTTCTTGCTGTTTATAGTGCTGCAAAACTGAGCTCAATTTCAGCAACCACTCCTGCATATCTGTTTCATTATCAGCGGCAAACGTGTAAAATTTATGAGTACCACTCATGCGCAATTCAAAACAAAATCTTCCGCGTTTTGGATTTCTTACCACGTCGGTGCAAAAGTCCATCACGATAGTAAGCTTGGCTTCTCCTTTTTTTTCATCTTTAAATAATTCTAAAATATAAGTCCCATCTACTTCTTGTCTGAGATGACAGAACCTTCGTTTAAATGACTTGGATCCAATATTTACAAACATACGATCGCTGCTACCGATCTCCGGTCCTTTCATCAAGTATCCCTCTTTGGTAATACCGTCACTTTTCATCATTTCCTCATCCACTTGATCCACATCCGTATCAATTTCATAAATTTCCTCTCTGAGCTCATCGCCTTTAGATAGCTTCGGTAAATCAAGATACGAGCCGCTGTACGCGGCGTATTTATAGTGAACGACATTCCAATTAGACGCATAATTTTTTAGGCATTCTCTGGTTAAAAGACTCTCTCCGCCGTCTGATTGCTCCAAAATGCTTTGGACAATTGATTGTACTGTCCGGTATCTTCTTGGAAGTACAACTTGCTGTAAAAATAAAATTAAATTAAGGAATAAATAAAATATTCAATATTTAATTTTTTTTTTCATTTATTAAATAAGAACTAAAAAATACTTATAAAAAATTGCACTTATAATTTTCAAAGTTTTTTACGAATGAAATTTTTTATTTTGTTTTTTTTTTTTTTTTGTATCAATTTTTTCAGTAAAAAAATTCTAAAAGTTTTTAGATGTCGGCTAACTTAATTTTCATGCAAGTCTTATATTAAATAAATAGGCTACTGTTATTTAATCACTATGATAAGAAGGACATCCTGTGAATCATCAGTTGCTTATCTTAATGTGCTTTCCTGAGGGTATAAAGCGATAAGCATTGAGTTATTATGAAATACTTATACTCACTGAAACATCATCTGGCGGATAAAGCAATAATTCTCGCTGCGGATCATTTTGCATCAATGTTTTATTCTTTAGAATAAAACTCTCAAAGTCTATCGGCTCGACCAAATGCGGTTTATTCTGTAAAAAAAAATAAAATATTATTGGAGCGATTATTCAACTGCGGTTTGGAGGACTTAAAAATAAATTTACGTCATGACAGTACTCTATAAATAACTATTTAAATAGTTTAGAGTGAAAAAAATATCGTTATATCATGGATAAATATAAAAATTGTTTTTATGAATAGCGGCAAAAATAGAAATGTTATATCTGTTTTGGAGAAACGTGTCAAGGTGCCTACCTGGACTGTACTCTCCCGAACGACTTGGGAAACGGTTTCTCGGAGCTGTGCAGCCATCCCGGGCTTACCTAGTGCCCGGGTAAATTTTCTTTCACTCATATTTGCTAATGACACCGGAAAATCATTGCACTTTTTAATGGGCAGTCACTTTAAAAATGTCTAACAAAACAAACTCGACTGTCGTCTAATTTCGTCATTTCACTGCTATATGTCGCCGCTGTTCTCTGAGTAATCTAGATTCTTTTTACAGTTTTACCAACTTAAGTCAATAATTTCCACTATGTTTTTTTATCAATCACTCTTTTTTTATTATTTGTAAATCATTTATTTTTTTTTTTTTAATTATCAATGAATAATTTTTCTAAATAAATAATAATTATTGATTAAAATCAGCTGATAATTTTCAAAAAAATAAATTTTCATGTCTTTTAATTTTTTTTCCGCATTTTTCAACAATCCAAATAAATAATCAATATCTAGACTTATTATTCAGCGTCTTTAATCTTTCTTTTGACAGCCGTAATAACAAATTACATACTTGTCAATGTCAATTATTGATTTATAGATTAATACTTAACTGTCAAGATAAAATTTATTAAATATTTATTTCTCGTTTATTTTTTTGATAAAAAATTTCAATAAATGTTAATTTTTAATGAAGAAATATTAAATGATTTTATTAGTAATTATTTTATTTAATTTTAATTAAATAAATATTAAATAAAAAATATTTTATAATTTTTGAATGATCGTAAACTTTTCCAAGAGAATATAATAATAAGCAACATATGATCAATAAAAAAAAAAAAAAGAAAGAAAGAGCGCGAAAATCAAAAAATAAAGTTTTAAAAAATCAATTATTTACTTTAAAATAAATAAGTCCCTAGATAATTTTTCCGAGCACATGCGCGGGAACACAATGCAGCAAAAGAAGAGGGAGTAAAAATTCCAATTTGGCAACTGCGCGGGCGTACCTGTAATATGACGATTCCAGCCACTTACTTGTGCGTGCTTGTGAGTTTGTGACTGTGAGTTGCAAATGGTGGTCGGACTGTCATTATTGCCTCGTTTAACATCAGGTATATATTAATTAATATGTCTTCAATAATTTTAAAACCAATAATCATCCAAAAAAACAACCCTCAATAAATTCCCACATAAAATAACGATTGTCTTTTTATAATTCGACTAGTTTAAATTATAGGTATTTTTTCTGTTACGTAAAAATTATTGCACAAGACAAAAATAGTCGCTCCAGTCTATTAATCTTGTTTATGTCCTTCATCCACTAAATATTAGTGTTTAAATAATTTTTCTTTCAACAAAACAATTAAAACAGCTGATGCTTTTAGTCAATTTATTCTTTAAAATGCTAAATTTTATTCTGAGACCTTGACACATCTCCAATGAAACCGGAAAATAACCTAGTTTAGAGACACACATTGATCGTACACGTGTGTGTGGATTTGGTATTTTTAAATTTGCCGGTAAACATATTTTTATATATATTTAAAGGTATTTTTAAATAAAATTATTTTTTTTTTTATTTATTTTCAGGTACTAATTTTTAATTATAATATTAAATTTTATTTATATTATCTCTGGTTTTAAACACAAGCCGGAATACCATGCGGACAGTGTATACTTGACCTGGTTAAGCCATGATATATTTTATCCACATAACATTTACGCGGAATGTGATTTCACTGCAAAAAAAAATCGTTTGACTTTCCAATCGCTTAATCGATTAAATAGAAAGAAAATTTATAAACTATATTTTATAATTAATTAAAAAACAAAGAAGGAAATTTTTTTTTATCAGTTCACACTTAAAGGTAATTAAGATAGTGAGATAATAATTACCATTATTACAACAGAACAAAATAATTTTTAAAAGTCTATTTGTTGATCATGTGACATGAATGTAAAAATTCAGCCTTCAAATATTTCCACTGTCATAAATAACACTATTTTATTCTACATTTATTTTTTAAGATTAAAATGTAGACAGCTATTTTTGAGATGAGTATTGAAGTAACAATGTTCACGAGCACGGCGAGTAAAGGTCAATTCAAGACGTCAATTTATTTGGCGATTGACCAAACAATACTATTTTAAATATATGTACATATTTTTTAAGTATTAAAATACTGGCAATTACCACCCGGCAAGTCTAACCGATGCAAACTGTTGTTATCACACTAAGTAAAAGAAAATACCATGCAACTATCGCTATGAAAAATAACAAAGTGATAAAATAAAATTGAATTCAATGACCTAATCATATTATAATTATTAATTTTCATATTATCAAGCTGTTATATTACCCAGACAGTCAACAAATGATAAAAATAATGCGTAATTTAAATAAAAAGCAGTTTTATTTTCTTCTGAGTCAATTGCTATGTCAAATATTAGATATGTATTGATTTATATTTGGTAATAATATCTAATATTACTCTGGTTATGTCTGTGGTAATGGTTTGAACTTTTATTATTTAATCTTTGCCAAATTTTCTTCTATTCAACAACATATATACTGTCCAAATAATTTTATACACTTTTTATTATTTATAAAAATAATAAATTATCATTAATAAAATCTGGGAATTATTAGATGGTTAATAATACAATGATAAAAATTTTGAAAGTAATAGACTAAGTAATTATTAAAAGATAACTTGGTAACTGATAACACTTGCTGACGTCAAATATTATATATGTAAGCGTTAAAAATATAAATGTGATAATTAAATATTTGTCATTTTGTTCCAGGCCAAAATGTATAAAGCTCGGGCGGTATTTAGTTCATTGACACCCTTGGCTCCACGTGTCTGCGGGGGCGAGAGGTTTGCATCATGGTTGGTCCGCAGCAACCCAACAATTCGTACATCGAAAGCTATTGCTGGTGTTGAACCTGCCCGAAGATTCGCTAGTAAAGTTGCGACCGAACCGTTCCTCAATGGAAGTTCCAGCTCCTATGTCGAGGAAATGTACAACGCATGGCTTCAAGATCCAAGCAGCGTTCATGTGGTATGTATAAATCAAATGACTCAAGTTATTTACATTTTATTGAATCTTTATTTTAATAATAAATTGCCTTTTACAGTCATGGGATTCATTCTTCCGTAATAGTACCGCGGGAGCGGCTCCTGGGTTTGCTTACCAAGCACCACCATCTCTAGCGCCGAGTTACAATCAGGTGCCACTTGGATCTCTATTGCCGGCTCTGGGAGGAGGCTCTCAAGTTGGTCAAGTCCCTGTTAATGAAAAAGTTATTGATGATCACTTAGCTGTTCAGGCAATCATTCGATCTTATCAGGTAAGTGATGATTTCATCTTGATAATTCTATAAATAATTTAAAAAACATGTTTACATAAATTAAAGTTTCAAATGAACGGCTCGAGTTATGAAAAATAATTTATTTCTGGGCCACTTCGCACCTCCCAATAAAAATTTAATTTCATAAATAATTTAAAAAATTACTAATTAAAATACTGGTATAATTAATTTTAAATATTAAATAAAAAATTATTTGGTAATTATTTACAAGCTGGGTCATATTAAATTTTTTTTTTTTTATCAAATTGATCAATTTTTTCTTTTTAATTATTCGTTTTTTTATGTACAAAAAAAATATATATATATATATATCAAAAACATCAAAATCTTTATTTTTTCCTTTCACGACATTTTTTTTATCATAAATGCGCCATAAAAACAAGCAGAATAAAAAAAAAATTTTGAAAATGTCAAATTTTCACCTAATTATGGCCAAAAATAGAGTTGACCTGACTTGTAAATAATTATTTATTATTTTAATAGCGATAGCATGATAAAATAAACAAAATTGATCAGCGATTTTTAATATCAGGGGTAAAACAATAGGTCAATGCTCTGCATGAAAATATGATGCAAATCATCATTGCTATATCGTTTATAATAGTCATATTTTTATTATCTTTAGGCTATTATGTGTTTTATTAAAGTTTTATAAATATTATTTGTTATTTATAGTTCAAACACTATTCATAATATACTTTATTAATTAAACATCTTAAATACATAATAGTTTTTCATTACATGAGAATGAATTCGACTTATAAGCATGCAAAAGCAACTGACATTGAAAAAAAAAGAGTACATAAATTTATTTATAGTGATAATTGTAAACGATTTTAAATATACTATTTACATTTTTATTATCGGTAATTTTATATTGACTTTTGTCACATGCTAGCATAAATTAACTTGTTAAAATATTTTTTCTTTTAAAAAATATTTATTAAATAACTTAAAAAAAAAATAAGGATTTTTTTTGCATGTGATTAATTTTTTTAAAGCCTAAAATTTTTTTTATTCTTTTTTAAATAGATGTGTACAATTGTCTGTGTTTAGATTATTATTATATAAAATATTGTATTAGAATTAGATAATAAAATCAAGACTTTAAAATTGGGATTATATTCGATGGAATTTAGGCCCGGGGTCATTTAGTAGCTGATTTGGATCCCCTTGGTATTATGAGAACCGATGCAGTACACACACATTACGCAGCCCGCAAAGGGGCACCTGAACTTGTTCTCCGACAGTACATGCTTGGTAAGGTTTTTCATCAAACCATCATACGAAAAATAAATCAATATCATTTTAAGTCAGGTATATTCATTAAATAAGGTGAAGGCTATGCCAATTTAACAGTTGGGTTCATTTAAATTAAATTAAATCATCCATTCACTGCCTTCATATTATTATTTTGAACTCTTAGACCGAAAACAACAATATACATTATTTTATTTATTTTTTTTTTTTTTCAAATGATTAATTGCTTAAAATTTTTTTTATTATTGATACTGAAAATGCATTAGCAAAAAAAAAAACGTGTCTAGACATAATAAATTTTGAATTTCATGAGCGTGGTAACATTTGTATAAAAACAAAAGGACAGTACGAGACTTGTTCATAAACATTAGGTAATATACACATATAAATTTCTAATATGTGTGCAAATATATGTGTATGCTTTGCATGTTAGCTGTAGTTGCACTTTTTTTACATTGCACGCTTTTCTCATTTTTTTCTTTTTTTGGCTTTTTCTTGAATTAATAAAACGCTTTTTTAACTTAAGAAAAATTTATACTAATATATATTTATGGTTTTGATAAAAATAACCAGAATATTTGCTCCACTTGTGGGAGGTGTTAGGTGAGCTACAAAGTAGCAAATTTTGCTGTTTGTATAATAATTAATTAACAATTTACAATACAGGAATACAAAAAATGACTGAAAGAAGTTATGTTGTAAAATTTAATATGTAATTGATAATAATGGATCTAAAGCACAGTAAATCGACATGGTCGATATGAATTTGACAGATCCGAGGGCATCATATCGCTAAATTGGATCCACTTGGCATCAACAGTGCTGATCTTGATGATAAGCATCCCCAAGAGTTACTGTACTCTTATTATTCATTTGGTAAGCTTACTAGTCGGTAAATTTCGTCATCAAACTATTTTTATTTATAAATTTAAAACTTTTTAATCATTTTTTATAACAAGAGACTTTAATATCTTCAATAATTAAATTACTAATGCTTTATTAAATTCAAATTCTTCTAATTGTAAATAGATTGCAATATTGTATTACGAAAGTTTAATTAGTCTCTTGTTTACAAATTACATTTTTCGATAAAGACTGTTTTATTTATTTAGTTTTTTTTTTTTTTACATTTACATGAATCATTTTCGTACATTTTTTTTATTATATTCATGTCATTATCATAATCATCGTAAGATCGTTTGTTAAGACCTGAGTCATTTAGATTTTTATCTTTTTTAAGATATCAAGTATTTTTTATTCGCGATAATGCAGACCCGCCTACGTATTGAGACGGAATAGCCTTCTATTCTCAGAGTCAAGTGACGTTTATGTTAAATTGACGTAAGAGCCTTATGAGAAGAATAACTACAAGTTTTAAAGTCCAATAATGATGATAAAATATTTTTTTTACTATTAAAAAATTTCTTCTTTGTTTTGTTAGAAAAAAAATTGATGACCTAACAGATAAATTAATTTTAAAAATTATTTTATATTCTACAAATTAAATTAAATTAAATTCTAACAAAGAAAAAATTTTATTTAGAATCAAAAACAGTTTTTACGCGTTTAAATAAAAAAAAAAAAAAAAGCCTATAGTTTTTAGTAAAAGTTTAATTTCCACAGGAAAGAATCCTCGCACCACTTACTCTCAGGACCTACAATATCGAGTAGCTGCACTCATGAAAAGTATGTAATTAACAAGTCCCAATTAGTTTTCTCGTTTGAAATAATAGTTTCTATTTATTGGGACTCACATCATTGGATCGACACTTACCCATGAAAATTATATCAAATCCATGTTGTTGAGGTGACAGGCTGTTTTATTTTATCTACTTTTAATCCTATCTGGTCGAATATTTAAAAATAAAATACTACCAATGCTTGATATTAATTTTATAAAATTAATCGGTGAGTGGGTAGGATTTAATTTTTATTTTTCCTTATTGATCAAGATGTGTAAACTGGAAAAGTTTATAATTACATCTGCTTCATTATATTCATCAGCTCATTCTATTTTTTTATTTTCTTTCCTATAACGAGTCATGCATTATATAATTATTAAACCACTTAATGTACAAATATGCACTTTTACTGTTTTTCTAATGATTTTATGCTTTATTCTACTCACTGTATTAAACATGCACGTATGTCACTATTTATCCACATTAATTATATTTTTACAGGAGATTATATTGCTATGGTATTATTATTTTAAAATTACGGTCGTGAATATAATAAGCATTTTCAGTATCAACAAGTCTAAAAAAAATTTTTTTATTTTATTATAAATGATATTGGTTAAAAATAATATTTTGAAGAATTTATATGATAAGAAATAAATAAAACTATTAATTAAAAATTATCAAAAAAAATTTACACTTAATTGCTAAGTGTTCTTTGTACAAAGAAAAAAAAATAAAATTCCAATGCTATTATATAAATTATCTGATGGCATTGAAAAGAATCGTTCAGTAATTGATTTCCTTGTAAAAAGTTCTACGCAAGAAGATTAAATGAAGCTAATTAATTTCAATAGCAAAAAAAAAAAAAAAAAAAAACAATTAATTAAAAAAAATAGTTTTATTTATTTTATATTATATTTAATTTTTCAAAATTAATGTTTAGAATTTATAAAAAAATTTTTTAATTAAATAAATTATTTTTTACAATAGAGGAAACCGATATGGACCGCGTGTTTAAGCTTCCATCAACAACTTTCATCGGTGGTAAAGAAAAATCTTTGCCACTTCGTGAAATCCTTCGTCGTTTGGAAGGTGCTTACTGCGGACACATTGGTGTAGAGTTCATGTTCATCAACTCTTTGGAGCAGTGCAACTGGATCCGTCAAAAAATGGAGACTCCTGGAATAATGGAGATAACTAATGATGAGAAACGTTTGATCTTAGCTCGTCTTACCCGTGCTACTGGGTATTAAAAATAAAATTTTAATTTTAATTACTGAATTTTATTAAATTGAATAGTAATTGTAATTTTTTTTTTTTTTTTGCAGCTTTGAAGCTTTCTTGGCCCGTAAATGGTCATCAGAGAAGAGATTCGGTTTGGAAGGTTGTGAAATTTTAATTCCAGCGATGAAGCAAGTAATTGACAAGTCCACCGAATTGGGAGTTGAGTCGATCGTGATGGGAATGCCGCATCGTGGTCGTTTGAATGTATTAGCAAACGTGTGCCGGAAACCTTTGAATCAGATATTTACGCAGTTCGCAGCATTGGAGGCAGCCGATGACGTAAGTGTTCAAACTTGTCTACTGTCTGGATTGAACTGGTAATACATACAATTGAATGATAGCTTAATTAAAATAATTTATTATTATTAGGGTTCTGGAGATGTCAAGTACCACCTGGGAACTTACATTGAGCGCTTAAATCGTGTAACAAACAAGAACATCCGCCTGGCTGTCGTTGCCAATCCATCTCATTTAGAAGCTGTTGATCCCGTTGTTCAAGGAAAGACGCGTGCTGAGCAATTCTACCGCGGGGACGGAGAAGGCAAAAAAGTAATTTATTTTCAATTATTACAATTACAAAAAAAGCATTTTCTTTTTTTTTTTTTTAACAAAATACTTGATAAATACTAGCAACCTTGCAGTCACTGTGTCATTTTATTAAATAATGACTTTTGTTAAATTGCACTGTACGTTCTTAACTAATATTGATGTTTTTAAAAGTACAAGCTCTCTCCAACATTACACTCATCAAGAGCTTTCATTTGAGTACCTACATGCATTTTCATATATTTTTCATATATATATATATATATATTATATAATATATATAAATATATGAAAAATTGATGTAGGTACTCAAATGAAAGGTCTTGATGAGTGTAATGTCGAGATGAGCTTATATCTTTAAAAATGTCAATAGTTCACAAGATACAAGATCATTTCTTAATATGACTACCCTTGAGAGAAAATTTTTCTTATTCTCTTAATAACATAAATTTTATATTCCAAGGTCATGTCCATACTATTGCACGGCGACGCAGCTTTCTGCGGACAGGGTGTAGTCTTCGAAACGATGCACTTGTCAGACTTGCCAGACTACACAACTCACGGAACAATCCACATCGTAGCTAACAACCAAATAGGATTCACAACTGACCCGCGACACTCTCGCTCCTCTCCATACTGTACCGACGTCGCCCGAGTCGTCAACGCTCCAATTTTCCACGTGAACTCCGACGATCCCGAGTCAGTGATGCACGTCTGCAAGATAGCAGCAGAGTGGCGCGCAACATTCCACAAAGATGTAGTCATTGATCTCGTGTGTTACCGTCGTAACGGACACAATGAAATCGACGAGCCAATGTTCACCCAGCCGCTTATGTACCGTAAAATAAAGAACACTCCACCCGGACTGGACATCTACTCGAAGAAGCTGATCGACGAGGGTGTCGTCACCCCGGAAGAAGTCAAGGACGTAAAAGAGAAGTATGAAAAAATTTGTGAAGAAGCTTACACCAATGCTCGCCAAGAAACTCACATAAAATACAAAGATTGGCTCGACTCTCCCTGGTCAGGATTCTTTGAAGGCAAAGATCCGCTTAAAGTATCTCCAACTGGGATTAAAGAAGACACTCTGGTCCACATTGGTAAGAAATTCTCATCACCACCACCGAATGCCGCGGAGTTTGTTATCCACAAGGGTATCGAGCGTATCTTGAAGGCGCGTATGGAGATGATTGAGTCGAGACAAGTCGACTGGGCGCTGGGAGAAGCTATGGCCTTTGGTTCGCTCCTGAAGGAAGGAATCCACGTGAGATTGTCTGGCCAGGACGTAGAGAGAGGCACCTTCTCTCACCGGCACCACGTACTTCACCACCAGACTGTTGACAAAGCTACTTACCGGCCTTTGTGCTACCTGTACCCGGATCAAGCTCCCTACACCGTCTGCAACAGCTCGCTGTCTGAGTTTGGAGTTCTTGGATTTGAATTGGGGTACTCGATGACCAACCCGAACGCCCTGGTCTGCTGGGAAGCTCAGTTCGGAGACTTCAACAACACTGCTCAGTGTATCATCGACCAGTTCATCAGCAGTGGACAGGCCAAGTGGGTTCGTCAATCTGGTATTGTCATGCTACTACCCCACGGTCTAGAAGGTATGGGCCCGGAACACTCCAGTGCTCGGCTTGAGCGGTTCTTGCAGATGTCTGCTGATGACCCAGACTACTTCCCGCCTGAGAGCGAGGAGTTCGCTGTCAGACAGCTGCACGACATCAACTGGATCGTTGTTAACTGCAGTACTCCTGCTAACTATTTCCACGTCTTGCGTCGGCAGATTGCTCTGCCTTTCAGGAAGCCTTTGATTATCATGACTCCTAAATCGTTGCTCCGTCATCCTGAGGCAAGGTCTAGCTTTGATGTCATGACGGAAGACACTCAGTTCTTGAGAGTCATTCCTGAGGATGGAGCTGCTGCTAAAAGTCCTAGCAATGTTAAGAGAGTGTTGTTCTGCTCTGGAAAGGTTTACTATGACCTCAAGAAAGCACGGACTGAGAGAGGGTTGGATGACAAGGTTGCTATCACCAGGGTAGAACAGGTAATGGTTTTTTTATTTTGCTATCTTTATTTTTTTTTATTAATAATAATTTATTGTTTAGCAGTAGCTATTTTACACGTCTTTTTACAATACGACGTTCTAATTGGCAAATTGTCTAACTGTCCATTTTAGAGAATCTTCTATTTGTACGAAAAAAACAATTAGTTCAAAATTTATTATAATTTTAAAAAACCATTTACAAATTTTTTTTAATAATCTTTTAAAAATGAACATTCTATCCTATTTTTTTATTTCGTCTGGGAGCTGATTATAATATCGAAAATCTTTATATGTTAGACAGTACTCAGCTTTTTATTTTATATTTTGATAATTTATTTTAATTGTAGATCTCACCATTCCCATACGATCTTGTGAAGCAAGAAGCAGCTAAATATCCAAACGCTGAACTTATCTGGTCTCAAGAAGAAGCTAAGAATCAAGGATCTTGGACTTACGTTCAACCGAGATTCTCCACGGCTCTCAGCCACTCACGTGACATTTCGTAAGTTTATTTTTTAAATTAATAATATTTTTTTCTTGGATTACTAATCACTAAAATTGCTCTTCAATTAACACTTATAACTTAATAATAATTTAAGCAGTCATTTTTATTTATTCTTAATTTTAAGTAATAAGTGTTGATTAAATTTTTATTTTGATATTTTAACACTCGTTATAGTTATTTTATTTTAAATGAACGGTGTAATGAAATTATTTTTCACTTGACTGTAAACATGGCCCACGTTTTCGCTTAAGTGATTATTTAGTTTTTTTTTTTTATTGAGTCAAATTACTGTTTACAATTAATTGAAATTAAAATAAATACATTCAGTATAGGATTATTAAAAAAAAATTTATTTTATTATTTCTATTTTCATAAATAATTTATAAAGTAAAGTAAAAAAAATGTTGGGCCATGTTGCAGTAGCCGAAGTTCGAGTGAAAGTAGTGGTGGTTGGTTAAGTGGATTATTTTCTTCATCAAAAACACCTTCCAAGTCAGAAAGTATTACAGAAAAATCTACTGAATCAAAATCACGAACTGTGAGGTAAAACTTATTAAAAAATTAAAATTAATACACTTAATTAATGGTAAAATGATTCTTCTCACTAAAAATTTATTGCAAATTCTCAATAATAATAATAATAATAATAATAATTTATCTTTAATAAATAAAATAATTATTTTTCTAGGTATGTCGGACGTCCCACAGCGGCTTCACCAGCCACTGGTAGTAAAATGCAGCACCTGAAAGAACTTAAACAACTTTTGGACGATAGTTTTAATTTATAAATCATTTTTTAGCTCTATAGTGATTAAATTACATTATTATTATTTATTTTTTGTCCGTTGTAATATCGATCATTCGCTGATACAAATGTTACAAAATGATAATTATTTTTAAGACTGTTCAAATTCATTCGGTGTAATTTTTCCTAAGATTAAGTGTTAGAAAAAATTGAGTAGCCTATTCAGAAAATTAATTTGAAATTTTAAATATTTTATAATTATTTAAAATAATATTTTATTTAAAACATTTATGCGAATGGTTGATTTGTTATTGATTGACAATTAAGTGCAAAGTTCTGTATATTCCGGCATTAGTAAACGATTTATTTATAGTTAGATACACGATTGAATGAGTTTGGTATGAATTGATATGTAAATTTAAAAATTAATACACCAATTATTTAAATCTTTAAATTGTAAACCATAATAGTAATCAAAAAATAATATTCACATCACTAAATATCGGCTGGAAAGAACTTATGCAACTGAAACTCCAAGTAGTAGACATTGTAATAATTAAAATATTTTTATTTACTAGAGTAATGGAGTTTAAAATTAATTCAAATATTATTTTGAGTCTTATTTTTCTTGTAATATAAAATATTAAGTATTATTTGTGAAATGCATTAATTTTCTTTTAAATTTATTCGCTACTACTAGGAGAGATGAATAATTACTTCTGATCATATTAGTTAATAATAATATGATTTGTAATTTATTTATATATACGTAAAAAATGGATAAAATATGTAAAAATGATATTTAATTTTGTTCTTTTGAATGGATGTATCATAGGTGTTTTTAGAGTGATACTTTGCCTTGAAATAAAACAAAAAAAAAAAAAAACAAGACTCATTTAAAAAAAAGAAGAAATAAAAATAACAATCTAATACATAAATGCTAGTTGTGAATGGAGGTATTATTTTAATTTAAACTTAATAATATTTACAAAAACCACAGTATTTATTCTTTCAATAACGAAATGTCTTTAAATTTATTTTAACTTAAAATGTAACTACTGGATCACACTAATCAAAAACAAATAAAAATATCTTAGTTTTTTTTTTTTATTGTGGTTCATGTTGTTCAAAGTATCTTCAGATGGTGCACGTAATTTAAAACAAATAGTTAAGAGAAGAAATAAAACATTTTAATTAATATTGAAAGTAATTAAATGAAAATTAACGTTCAAGATTTTGAGAATTTTATTTTCAAGCCCTAGAATTAAAAGTATTTAAATTTGCATGTTTTTTCAGGAGTACTCAGTCTAATTACATTTCTTCCCACTATATAATTTTAATTCATTCCCCTCTTCACAAAAAAAAAAAGTTATTTTTACATACAAAAATATTTACAAGCTAGATAATCATTGATTCTCTCCAGTTGTTGATTCCCTCCCTCGTTACCAGAAATATTAAAAAAATAAACGCACAATTTTTTCATCAAAAATATGTTTTATTTAATAATTATTTAATGTATTTAGTATTGCGTCTATAATCAGATTTCGTAGTCGTATATAACATTAAAATAATTCGTTTTAAACAAAATAATATTAAGATAGATATATAGCATATAATAAATTTTTTAGTGGATTAAGCGTTCAATAATCCGTTGTTCCAAGCACACTGTACATAATCCTCTTGAAACTGTTGCTTTGGTGAATTTTTTCATCATCTTCGTAACCGCTGGCCTGTAAATAAAAATTTACTTTAAAGAAGCTATTGAAGCTAATTAAGTGCAAACAAAATAAACTTAATTTTATTTTATTAAGTCACTCATAAAACAAAGGACGAGTTATTGTGTTATTGTTGATAGGATAAATATGCTTTTTTTGTCATTTATTTTATGATAGTAATGAACGTACAATTGATGGATAAATTTAGTAGCCGTTGACGCGGTCCTTTACGAAAGGAAGAGGAAAGGGACGATACATTCCACCCTTAATCAGACAAATATTTCATAATTAATTAGACAATCATGCTCAGTGTTGATTCTATTTTTATAAATTATTTACTGAACGATTTTTTATTTTTTAAAATACAATTGAGAAGAATATTGAAACAATTTTTAGTCAGACACAATGCAGACTTAATAATTCAACAAAGTGGTCCTTTGTCAGCTTATCAACATTAATTTTAAATAAATATAATTAAATAAGGACTTACGTATGACAGAGCGGGACTTTTTGGTGGCGCGTGTACTTGCTAAAAGAAGAAATAGTTGAAAAATAATTTTAAAAAATTGAAATAAAGAATAAATAAAATCTTACTCTGTGATGATGAGCTTTTTGGGGTGCAAAAACACCAGCACGTGCTGGCTGAGTGACTTCATGTACATGGTCGCCCATTTCTTCTTCTTGAAGTGCTTTGTAGGCTTCGCTTTTGCTTGGATCATACTTGGCCGCCGGCTTCATTGCACTATATTTAATTTTCACGAAATCTTAACTCGCGTTATTACAATTTACGGTATTAGTTAATTACATTGAACGATATTTCTTCATCATTATTATTGTTTAAGTAGTAAATTAATCTACAAAGCTTACGAGCACATTCTCGAGCAATTTATAGTAAATTTATTTGTAAAAAATCAGTAACTAAAAATTAAAAAACAAAAGAAGAAATAATTAAATGATAATGTTAGTTGAAAAATAATTTATTTAATTAGTTTTAAATTGCATGCAAAATAAATGTTTATTTTTGTTGTAAAATTTAAAACTCATGGGTGCGTTTCGTTGATTCTTTATTGCATTTGGTGAAACGAATTTTAATACTCGTAAAATACTGCATATTTTAAAACTAAAATGGGAAGAAAATAATGAATAAATAAATAAATATATATATATATGAAATCTGAATAAATACAATAATGATATTTAAAAACAATCCGATAATTATTTAATGAATAAATTAATTAGACCCATTAAATTGGGGCCATGGATTCTTAGAAGCAACCTCCCGGGCCTTTTCCTTCATTAATCTCGCCTGTTCCTCTATTTCTCGTTTTTGTTTCACGAAGGAAAAATCAATAAAAATGCTGGAAAAAGCAAATAATACACATATTTTCATTTATATTTAATTAGAAAAAAAAAAAAAAAAAAAAAAAAAAAAAAAAAGAGTCATTTCTTCTTTGATAAAAAAATTTTTTTAAGTGTACCTAACACTTTTATTTAGTTATATTAATAATTAATATGCAAGCATACCAATTGCATTCATCTATAAAACAAATTAAATTATTTTAATTAATAATAAGCTTATTTTTGTAATGTAAATACTTTATCGCAAGCTCCAAGACAATCAGCAGCTTTCCTCAATTACTTTATTATTATTATTATTATTATTATTATAACATTGTTAAAAGCTGTATTAAATATTATTATTAATTGTTTAAATTTTATAAATTATTTTATTTGTTTGAGATAATTTTTTTTATTTTATAAATGTTTATTACTTACGGAATGGCCGTGGTTTGACACTTAATAGTGTCTGCGATATTTTGTTCAGAGTACAGTCCAATCGGTGAATTGAATTGCTTGTGGACAACCTGTTTGGACAAACAATCATTCATACAGGGTAATTTGAGGTTAAGATTAAGAAGAAATTAATTATTATTAATTAAAATTATTTCTTCTTAATTGTTTAAAATATTTGTGAATTTTTTAAAATAAACGCCATGGAATTTAAGGTTTTTTTCTTTATTATAATATTATGAAGGTGAAGTTAGCTGACAGCTGTCAACTTTTTGGATTTTTACAACAAATAAATTATTACTAAAAAGAATACATTAAAAATAATTACAAAAATAAGTTTTTTGACATTTACAAGTGGAATTTTTTAGAAAACTTTTATTATAATAATTTATTTGTTTAAAAAAATTCTGAAAATTTTCAGAAGTCAGCTGACTTCAGTTTTATAAAATAATGAAGCTGAAGTTAGCTGGCAGCTGTCAATTTTTAGATTTTCACAATAAATAAATTATTTTTAAGAAAAAAAACATTTTAAAAAAGGCAACAATAAATTTTTTTAACATTTACAAGTGGAATTTTTTAGAAAATTTTTATTGTAATAATTTATTTGTTTAAAAAAATCTTAAAAATCATCAGAAGTCAACTGACTTTAGTATTATGGGATTCTCACTCACTTAACGGGCAAAACTGATAAAAATAAACTTTTTTACTCAATTTAAACTGCAAATTTATTAGTAATTTTATTTTATTTGATCACACATTGGCGATTATTTGAATTTTAAATTAAAATTTTTACAATGAGTAATTTTTTTTAATTGTTGCAATTGCTGAAATATATGAAAATACATCTCAGTAGATAAAAATTTATAAGCAGTGTGAAAATAATTAAAAATTACACGATTCTAGTGATTGTTTATGATAAATGCGATAAAGCCGAAGCGTCATGTTTTGAAAAACTAAAAAAGTGAACAAACAAGTAAGTAATTTGTCTGAAAATATCTGAAAACACAAATGCTGCATTAAGAATATTAAAAAGATAAAAATAAATAATCTCTCGAAGCAAAAAGCGACTCGGATAAATAGAATCAAACCTTTGGTAATTCATTCGGTCCTAAGACACGCTGCATAACTGATTCCGCCACCTGTTTATTATTTAATCAAAGATTCGTAAGTAAAATAGAGTTAATTTTAAGTGTAATTAGACTAATAACGATAAATAAGTCAAAAAAAATAAAGATCATAGTTAGCAAAAATAATTTTTCAATGGGACAATTATTCCCTCTTGACTTTTAAAGCAAATTTTCATTTTAATTATTATTTATGCTGATTTTGGGTCACTTTGAGACTTGAGCTGGACAGTGAACTCAGCATAGTACTGAAACTCCCGGCTGTATCTACCTACGGTTTGTACCTTTTGTTTCATCGCCACCTCGGGATGAGCAACCTCGTAATGATGAGGAGCGGCCCTTATCATTGGATTTGGATGATGGCGAAGGTAACATTCACCTAATGGAGCATCTTTCTTGATCTTGGCACCTGGCAAGACCAGAGGAGTTGTGCGGTACGGCTGAAATGAAAAATAAATATTTTTATCAGTTAAAAACAAAAAACAAAAGTATTTTGGTTGGAATTTTATTTAATATATTGAAGCTGTAAACTCCAAATTTTAGCATTATTTTCTATCTCATAAATCTGGGGATTAAGGCCACTTGTTTTAAATTTCGAAATTCCTTCGCACTCTCTAAATTATTTGGGTTATCGCCAAAACACGCTACATTACACGTTTACAAATAAATTATCAAAAGATATAATTATAAGTTTAATATTTTTGTTGTTGAAATTTTTTATGCCAATAAAAATATAAACTTAAATACAACAAAAATATTAAAGTTAGCTGTCGCTTGACCATTTTTTTAATTTTATTTAACAAAAAAATTTGTTTCAAGAAATTATTTTTAAAAAATAGCATTTTTAATTTATTTAATTTTCTAAATGTCAATTTATTTTATGCAGTAATTTATTTATTAGAAAAATTATTAAATATCTGCTAAATTAATTTACATAAACTGCAAATTTTTATTTTTCAAAAACTTTAAATTAATTGACAAGCTTGTCAACGCCTTCAATTAATATTTTGTCAACAAACTACATTGAAGACGCTTTACTTCCCACGCGCATGATTTAAAAATAAAAATATTTATAGTCTGGTGTGCAGAAAAATTCTGAGCTAAATAATGAATATTACTTATTTAAAATATTATTCCTTAATTTTTATAAAGTTTCATTTCTTCTCAGATTTTTTTGATCAACAATTGAAAATTATCCGCTGAAGAAATAAAATAGAAAATGAAACATGATCCTGGTTGGCAAGCTTGCAAATATGATTGAAGTAAACGTTTTCGCAGGTACAATAAAAGGAATTACATAAATCGCTAGGTGCAATGTAGATTATTAAGTCTTGGCAGTAATATACATCGTTATGTCACATTAGTTGGTTAGCGCGCATGAAGATGACGAAAGAACGGTTAAATTCAGCTCTTTTCTTTATTGTGTTTGTATTATATTATAATAATAATAATAATAATAATAATATTATCTGATCTAATACATAATAGCTCTCGTTCTTTAATAATCTTCAAATTTTCCGCAGCGTTCACCAGACATTAATACGCTCAATCATCGTCTTCTTCTACTTACAGGGTATTAATCATCACTTATGACAGAGCCTGTTAGCAGAATCTTTAAACGCTTAGCGTGTAAATAATTTTGTGAGTAATTAAAGTCTAACATCTTCTCTTTAATCTCAAAACAATTATTTCTTCTTAATCTTAATCATAAATAATTTACAAAGTAATATTAACTTATTACAGCTAAATAATGAATTTTTGAGAGCTTTGTAAATAAATTTGATAGGCAATAAACAATATTTTTTGTTTTGGTACAGAATAAGAGAAACGAATACGATATGCTGAAAATAGCTGAAGGCTTTTAGCTGGCACAAATAATCTGTCGTTGTGTTGCCTCATCATGATCTCCATTTAATTTTTTTCTGCCCTCGATATTTACTTTCGATGACAGTCAATCAACTCTACCTTGGAATATTAATCCATCTAGGGATTTTTTTTTTTTTAAATTAATAAAATTATTTTTATTTTTATAACTATAAATTATATTATTATAATTATAATTATATTTTTAGTTTACAAAATTAATTAAATTTAAATTAAATATTAAATAAAACAAATTTTATTTTGTTTAAGAAATTTTTTTTTCTTTTTTCTAATAGAAATTTTTTTAATTAATTAATTTATCCACTTTTCTCTAAGAAGTCACAAATATCAAATAAATACATATTGTTAACATTAATTAATATATATAGAGATTTAAAATAAGTTAAATCCCAACAATAGGCCAGAAATTATGAATTAAAGATTTACAAGCTGATTATAATTGGAAAAATTCAATTGGAAAAAATAGTAAAAAAAAAAAAATCAATCTAAATTAACTTGAGCCTATCAAATTACAAGTTTCCAATAATACAAGCCGAGTAATTTAGCGTATAAATAAAATAACAACTTATTTTTCAACCTGAATAAAATAAAAGCTCGTTTAGATATCGACCATGTGTCTTTTATTACATCTGCGCTATAAATTCGCTGCAAACTGCAATTACTTTCCTTTTATCTTCTCGGTGTCTGACTTGCCGTCCATTAGCTCTTAAACGCTTCAATTTCTTCTTTTTCTACTCAATTTTTTTTTTTCCAATTCAATTGTCGCTTTTCACACCGGGCTGACAAATGTCTCAAAAATAGTGAAGGGTAAGCCAAAGTCACTAAATAATATTTTCACAAACTTCCAATTAATATGTCAAGGTTAATACTCGAGGCGTAATGTCTAGTTATAATTAAATCATTCTCCCGTTGCATCATTTGTGCTCTTGACTTTCATCGTAATAAATTTAAACTAACTTCCTTTATTTTATTACTTAGCTAATAAATTAATTTAACTAAACCTCGCATGACATTTCGGAATTAAATCCTGAAATATTTACAAGCGCAAAATGTTTAGATAGTTCAAAAATAATAATAGAAGTCAATAAATAAATAAACAAACTTTAAATTATTTAACAATGATGATGTAAAAGGATATGTAATTGACAATTTGGCAACAGACTAAACATCTGGCAAATATATTAGCTCATCTGCTATTAAATATTACTTCTTTGCACGGATTAGAATTAGAATATTGTTTTATTAATGCGCTGAATTCTATTTGAAGTAATTTGATACTCTCAAGTGAAATTTATCAGTTAAAATTTATAAATAATTTTTATTTTTAATTCCTAGGTATATGTTACTTTTTAAATTTGTTCTCCTACCCAATAAACAGCCGATTCTTCTTCTTTCGGTTGACGTTCAATAGTGTAACGATATGTCGTAGTGTAACCCGGCATTTTTTCACTTATTTGCTACAGCTAACTATTTCTTCTTTCACTTTAATAGGAACAATTTTAAAAAAAAGTAAAAAAAAACACAATAATTTTTGGACCTGGTATAAACGTACTGGTTCGAAGCGCGGGAGTTACTGATACAAACTAACTCCGGCGTTTTCCAAGTACCTCAAGAAATGTAGTCTCCCGAATAAAACTAACGTTACGTTATACAGCGTATGGCGTGTATAATTTTTGATATACTTCACCTTCCAACATTTTAAAACTCCTACGTGATTTGTAACTCAGGGTTACTACGTCACTAAACAATTAGAGTGTGACGATTGATGAAAGACCCCTAAAAGTTAATTCATCTGATTCTTAAATTCAAAGATTCTTTTCTTCTTTTTAATATTATAATTATTAATAACTTAACTGAAAATTTTATCCTATTTTTCATCGCGGCAATTAATTAATGAAAATTAAGTTGGTCATTTAAAAATGCTTAGAATTTTTTTTCTTTATTAAAAAAATGATTAAAAAAAAATTTCACTTGTAAAAAACTTTAAAAACTATAAGTGCAATTTTTTAAAAATATTTTTTTGTTCTAATTTAATTATTAAAATCGTCGGCTAACTTTAATATTAAAATTAATTAATTAAAAATTTTCACTTGTAATTTTTATTAATTTTCATACATGGAATTTTTTTTTTTATAATAATTTAATTATTAAAAAATTCTAAAATAATTTTTAATGTCCGTCAACTTCAGTGTCATAATTAATTAGTCAATTAATCAACTTTATTTTTCAGAGCTAACAATCTTGATCAAAGGTGACAAAATTAATGGGAAGAAAACGAGGTTAGACTTTAGTAGCAAAGAATAATTTGATTTTATGAATGAAAAAATAATTTGATGATGAAATTAAAAATTTATAGTATCGAGATCGGTAAATAAAAGTATCAGTGGTGGTTTCGATGCAAAAGTTATATTTATAGAGTAACTCTACTACACATCTTGACGAACTTTCCGGCATCGAGAGACGGACCACCAAAAATATATTCACACTTTATCTATAGATTTTGCTGCTGTCTCTTTTTCTCATTAACTTTATATAAATGCTATTTCTTTTTTTTTTAAACTGATCAAAACATTCTCCATCCATTTTTTTTTAAATATCAAAACATTTTTTCTTGATATTTAATATAAAATTTTGAAGCTCATTTTACAATAAAATTTCAAGGTCATCAGTAGAATTTTAGAACGCTGTTATGATGTAACAATTTGTTTACATTATATTGGTTGTTTATATGAGAAGAAATAATTTTTAGCTAAAATATTGAATAGCTATAGGAAAAAAAGCGGCTGGCAGCTGTTTAAAATCCGATACACGCAGTAAATTTTGCACCAGGGATTCTTTTTGCTCCGCAAATCGCGTCTTACAAACACAACGTGTCGTATCGGCCGAAATAGCCGTTGGTTCTGCTCTAAACTTAGAGACAAGCCAGCTGAGCTGTTAAGCTTGCATCATTTACTAAGATTTTTTTCTCAATAATTTATTTATCGATTGACAATCTCTCACATTCAGCCGCTCTTATTAAAAAGAATTAAAAAATATCAATTTAAATTATCAATTACAATTTCTTCTAGCTTTTGGAGACTCTCCACTGTTGCTCGCCAAAGATTGCATCAAAATCAAGACATAAAATGTGTAAATAATTAAAATTATTTATTATTTATTATTATTATTATTATTATTATTATTATTATTATAGAAGCTCACCTGAGACAAGTAGTATCTTTCTTCACGAACTTCCTCGATGTGTTCTCGAGGAGGCTCGAAGTGATCCGGTGAATAAGTCTTGTATTCGCGAGGAGGCGAATACACAGCCGGAGGAACTGGACTTTTCGGTAGAACTTTTGGCTGCGATTCTTGAGGCCTGTTTGTTATATATTAATTAAATTATTACAGATTATTTTATTATTTCTTCTTTGGGAAGAAAAAAGGCTGGAAAATTTTTAGTCCATAATTTAATTAATGCTCTTTGTTAAATAATTTAATTTAATTTAATTAATTAAATACTCTAATTTAAAATTGAAAAAAATTTAGAAAAGAAGAAATAACAAAGAGCATTTTAATTTTTTTAGTCGTGGTTATCACTCCTCCTGAGCATCGCGATGAGGCAAGCGTTATTTTGTCAGTCTAATTGAGCTATAAAATAAAAATTCTAAATAATAAAAGTAGCAACGTGTAGCTAATAGCATAAATAAAATACAAATAGTGGATAATGAAATAGTAATAGTAAGAAGAATATGATTTAAAATTTTTTCTGACAGACTAACGAACGCAGCCTCGTCGTGAGAGTGGATTGACTCGACAATCGATGACTGTGAAGTGTATCGATTGTATGCCAGATTTGACAACGGCTCGGACCTTTCCACGACTAGTCTTACAGACTCTGAATTTTGGAGAATATTCTGGGCGTCCACATGCCTCACATCACGAGAATCGTAATCGTCTATTTTCTTGATCACGTCACCCTTCCGGAGCTCATCGTTCTCAGACTGAAACAACAACCAGGTAAATATTTACATTATTAAAAAATTTTTTAATATTTATTATTTTAAATCTATATTATTAAGAGAACAAGAAAAATTTTGTGTCATTGCAAAGGTCTTGACTTGAATTTGTGCCTTTTCAAGGTTTCATATCATTCTCACCATTAGTTAATTTATTATGATAAGTATTTAGGCTGCACTCAAAAATGTTCTATTTCTAGATACATAATTAATGTGGGTACTTAAATGAAAGCTCTTGATGAGTATAACAATGGGATGAGCTTATATCTTTAAAAACATCAATAGTGAAGAAAGAACAGTGCAACTTAACATAATTAAGAAATTACCGTGTATCTTGTGAACTATTGACATTTTTAAAGATATAAGCTCATTGCAAGGTTACATTCATCAAGACCTTTCATTTGAGTACCCTGATCATTTTTTCATATATTTATATATATTATATATATGTATATATGAAAAATATATCAAAAATGCATGTGGGTACTCAAATGAAAGCTCTCGATGAGTGTAACATCAGGATGAGCTTATATCTTTAAAAACGTCAATATTTAAAAAAGTACCGTGCAATTTAACAAAATTCATTATTATTTAATAAGGTAAAATTTAATTTATTTGTAGTTCAAAAGTCACAGCAGTCACATAGTGACTGCAAGGTTGCTAGTAATCATTAATTAAACAATTATAGGAAGAAATAATCACAAAAACACTCACACGGGTGACGACGATCGGAGTGCCTAAATCTGCGCCCCCGGCAATTCGGATTCCCCAAGGGCGACTTGGATGTCTTCTTAATGTCAATACCAACGTGTGTTTCTTCGTCATACTCTGATGGATTTATTTCTTCTTCTGGTTTTTTTTTTTTTTTTTAATGTAAAAATTCACACAAGGATCTTTGATAGAACAAAACAATTTTTTAGAATACAAAAACACTTATCTAAAATTTTAAACACAGGGAAGAAATGGATGTTTTTAAAATTTGTTTGGGTCGATTGTGACAAGCCAAGAATCTACAGCGTTCGGTCTACTGTCAACCGTGGGACAGAACTGCGGTAACGGATTGCAATTTGACAAGACCAATGCATATCTCGAGAGCTCCGAGTGTCCCTGAAGTTGCCCAATAAGCGTCAGCATAACTAGGTTCCTATTCTACCCAATCTGGCCTCATTTCTTATTGGCATCCCACATTGCAAGTGTCGATATGCTCCAACAAATTTAATACCTGCTCTTGAACAATCACAATTAACCCCTCTTGCTCTTTTTTATAGTATTTATATGTCCAACATTGTCAGCACCTCTCATTGTTGTTCCTATTGTGGATTAGACAATAACAAATATTATTTTGTTAGACTTTTTCCGCTCGAGGGTGCTCAATCTTTAAGACACGAGACTGGATTCTGCTAAGCGCGGAATTATTTAAATTTCAACTTTATTCGCGCCAAAATTTAACTGGGATTCCCCTTCTTTTTTTTTCATGTTGGATTTTTTAATGGAAATTAAATGATTATTTTAAATTACATGATTTGTTCTGGAGAAATTAAGAGTGAAAATTTTTAATTAAAATAAATTATTAATTAAGAGTGAATAAATTAAATTTTTTTTTTAAAGAAGAAATCTAAAATTTGTTAATTGGGAATTTTTACACAAACTATTAACACAATTGATAATAAAAATAAATTAACAATTCACTTTAAAAAAAAAATTAATAATAAAATCACCACAAATAAAATCACTTCACTATTTTTTTAACAAAAATACTCACGTAGGTCTCGTAGTAATTTCCAATGGAGAACTTGAGTGCCATTTTCACGCTCTCCAATCCTCTTGTGATCCAGCAATTCAAGACAAAGTTTGTTAATTTTAATTTATTTTGATTTTTATTCCAAGCAGGTAAATATTAGTGAGTAATCATAAAATCAGTCCGAAACTCGGAAAGCCACAAGCTTGTCCTTTCTGAGAGTCCAATTAGTTTGACGGTCCTCCGATTAATGACTTTAAATTAAGAGGAAGAGAAGTAACAGAGAGATAGAGAATGTGTAAGTGCAAAGGAAATAAAACAGGGGTGTCGACACTTAAATTAGCCACCTATAGCGCTAAAGGTTAATCAATCGACTTGATTAAGAGACTACCACTACTGCTGCACTGATATGTTCTAGTGACTCATTTATCTTGATGTATATTTGTTTTAAAAAAAAATTAATTAACGACGCATCTAAAACAAAGAACCAATAATCATCTGATATATTTTCAAGGCTGTGTTACGACTCACGGTCATGTGGATTATTGATTATAAATTAATTATTTTCAGCGATATACATTATAAATATTTATTGTATCACCTAGAGTATTAATTAATCAGATCTATTGTCATTTATATAAAAATAAATATCCAATCATCAAGTATAAAAAAAATTAATTTAAGAATACTCCTCAGTAATTTCTCGACTGATTATCATTCTTCTGATTTCACTCGTTCCTGCCCCTATTTCATATAACTTTGCGTCTCTCAGCAAGCGACCCGTTGGGTAATCATTGATGTATCCATTTCCGCCTAAAAAAAATTATTGTAATTTTTTAGCAAAAAAAAATAATTATTAAAATAAATTAAATTACCAAGGATTTGAATTGCATCTAACGCAACTTTTGTCGCGCTTTCTGCACAGAGAAGAATAACTGCAGCGCAGTCTTTACGATTTATATGATTAGTGTCACAAGCTCTGGCTACAGAGTACAAGTAGCTTCTGTTTGCACTTAGCGTAGTGTACATATCAGCTATCTTTGCCTAAAATATAAAAATATTTTTTTTTTAACAATAATTATATTGATAAATAATAATAATAATAAAATAAAATAAATAAGAAGTACTTGGATCATTTGAAATTCAGCTATTCTTCTATTGAATTGTTTTCGGTCATGAGCGTATTGGAATGCTATGTCGCAGCAAGCTTGAGTGATCCTATAAAATAAGTTCCATTTTGAGAAATTACCTTTTATCTTGTGAAATATTGACATTTTTAAAGATATAAACTCATCCCGATGTTATACTCATCAAGACCTTTCATTTGAGTACTCACATCAATTTTTCATATATTTTATATATTATATATATATATATATATATATATATATAT